GAATGCCAGTGTCACAGGCAGTGGCTTAACCTGCTACATCACAACACTGGCCCCAATATTTTTTCCAAAGGAATATATATATATATATTATATATATATATTGACAGGTACATGAAAAAATGCTCAATATCACTAATAAAGGAAATGCAAATTAAAACCACACAAGATACATCTCACCCCAGTTAGCCTGGATGTTATAAAAAAAAGTATATATATATGTATATATATATATAAAACAAAGGCTGGTGAGGAGAGAGAAAAGCAAACCCTTGCGTGCTATTGGTGGGAATGTAAATTAGTAAACTCATTGTGGAAAACAGTACAGAGATACTTAAAAATCCAGAACTAGGGCCCAATGTGGTGGCCTAGTGGGTTAAAGTCCTCCCCTTGAACGCACTGGGATCCCATATGGGTGCCGGTTCTCACCCCGACAGCCCTGCTTCCCATCCAGCTCCCTGCTTGTGACCTGGGAAATCAGTCAAGAACGGCCCAAAGCCTTGGGACGCTGCACCGGCACGGGAGACCCAGAAAAGGCTCCAGGCTCCTGGCTTTGGATCGGCGCAGCACTAGCCGTTGTGGTCACTTGGGGAGTGAATCATCGGATGGAAGATACTTCTCTGTCTCCTCTCTCTCTCACTCTGCGTGTGTGTAGGAAGTAGGAGATCCTGTGGCAGCAAGCACACTGTTCAGCAAAGTGAGGCTGGGAAAGGCATGTGCAGTGTGAGCGCAGTCCTGTGTGCAATTCAGACTGACCATCAGCACCGAACTGAGAGCAGCGGGTACCGGAGGCAAAGGGCAGTGCAGACGGGAGATGGGAGGAGGAGGAAAGGCCGGAAGCTTCTGTCAGACAGGAGGCAGAAATTCCAGAGGTGTACGGCATAGCAGGGATGGTAGTTTACAATCACGCACTGTTTATCTTTCAACAGCTCCAAGATTTTGAATATTTCCATGAAAAGGAGATGATGAACGTTGGAGGAGATTGTATGTACCATGTCTTGAACAGTAAGCAGTATATATAAGCACTGAGATATCACCTGGTACCTCAAATATATACGATTCTATGTATCAGTCAAAACAAAGACATGGAGGTGCCTGGTGGGCACAGTGGCTCAATTAGCTAATCTTCCCCTTGCAAATACCAGCATCCCATATGGGTGCTGGTTCATTTCCTGGCTGTTCCACCTCTCATCCTCCTCCCTGCTTGTGGCCTGGGAAAGCAGTAGAGAATGCCCAAGCCTTGGGACCCTGCACCCACATGGAAGACCTGGAAGAAGCTCCTGACTCCTGGCTTCAGATAGGCTCAGCTTTGGCCATTGTGCCCATCTGGGGAGTGAACCATCAGATGGAAATTCTTTCTCTGTTTCTCCTTCTGTAAATCTGCCTTTCCAATAAAAATCTTATTTTAAAAAAAAGACCGGAAAATGAATAAACTGCCATCCTCACATTAGCAAGGCTTTCTGTTCCCATTCCTGAAAGCCCCCTCGCCCTTGCAGCTTGGCGTATCCTTTCTCTCCCACACTTGTCTCCTGAGCTTGATGCCTTGTCTCCTCTTTGAGACTCCCACAAACCCCAAGCTATGCTCCCCTCTGCATCCTCCCACTGTCTGCTTATCTTAACATTTTGTCTCACCCAGGTCACGTGTTCCAGGGTGAGGGGAAGAGGAAGTTAGCAGCCCATGAGAGCAAGGGGGAGGTCCTGCCTCTGTTTCCCACACAATTCCTGGGACGAGGCCTGAGGCAGCATGTGCCGACTGAGCACGTGTGCAGAGAGGGATGCCAGGGTATCAGGGCATCCACAGGAGAGAAGGCAGCAGGCAGGGCAGGCGATGCCAGGCTCCGAGCCAACTGGGCCTGGCAGACTGACCTAAGAGCAGAACACCGCGGGATCAAGGCCTCAGGGGCTGGTGGGTCCAGAGTCAGACCTTAGGTCTCTTGTTAAAGGCAACTAGAGGATCCCACGCCAGAGTAGGGATGACTCCTTTTATTTAATCGTGTGCTTTCCTTGTCATGATTTGAACAGGGAAAGAAGGTGGCAGGGATGGAGACAGTAACAGGTGTTTGAAGATTATTCTGTCTATTCTGCAGTGGCTGAGAGTCCAGGTGCAGGGAGCCGGTGTGTAAGCGGTAGTTGCCAGGTTTCTGTGCCACCTGCACCTGTTTCACCTGGCAGAGGGAGGTACCGACAGCGCCAGGGATGGCAGGTACTGGGGGAAGAGACGCCAGGGTGTTTCCTACCAGCGTTTCTGTTCTGGGCAGACATTTGCACAATGTCTGCTTCTCCATTAAGCAGTTCCTCCCTCTGCATCCCCAGTGCCTGCAGGCTCTGCCTCTCTCCTGGGAACTGGAGGGTTGTCCCTTCTCTTGGTCCTCATGGCCCTAGGGATGGGGGCAGCTTTCTTTAGGATCCCAGTGTCAAGGTCATCTCCCAGTCCCTGTGGGCCTCCACGGCTTTTTTTTTTTTTTTAAAGATTGATTTATATTAGTGCCTGGCACAGTAGCCTAGTGGCTAAATCCTCACCTTGCAACCACTGGGATCCCATATGGGTGCCGGTTCATGACCCTTTTTCAAAAAGTGATCTTTAAAAAAAGATTCATTTATATTTATTGGAAAGGCAGATTTACAGAGAGGAGAGATAGAAAAAAATATCTTCCATCTGCTGGTTCACTCCCCAAGTGGCCACAGTGGATGGAGCTGCACCAATCTGAAGCCAGGAGCCAGGAGCTTCTTCCAGATCTCCCATGCAGGCTCTAGGTCCCAAGGCTTTGGCCATCTTTTACTGCTTTCCCAGGCCACAAGCAGGGAGCTGAATGGGAAGTGGACATCTGGAATATGAGCTGACGATATATGGGATACAGGTGCTTGGAGGTGGAGGGTCAGCCAATTGACCCATCATGCCTGGCCTTTCATAGGTCTTGTATCACATACTAGACACCAGCTCACTACACTGGACTCTCTCCACCCTACTTTCTGGGCAGCTTTTCTTCTTGTGACCAGGCCTAGACTGAAACAGGGATAGATGAAGACTGAAGAACTGGCACTTGCTTACCCATTTTATCATCCCTTCTACTCAGCACTGGTCCAACACAGAGCAAAATCCATTAAGTTTCAAACTATTGAAGGAAGCAAAATCTCCTTTCCTAATTTTTGGCAAAGAGTAATCCACATCAAGATGAAAATGATATAATGCAGATATGAGAGGCATTTTGAAAAGGTTTGTAGACTCTGCAATGGTCTACCTTTTATTTGCAGAATTCTTTGTTTAAAGAAGCAATGTGCTTGTGATTATAAAAATACAACATAAACTGAAAATATGAGTCTGATTCTAGAATTAGAAGTTGAAAGTATGATGATACACATAATTTTTAAAAAGGAATGAAGGAGGGGAGACGGGAGAGAAGTGCAGGCATGAAATTCATAAAGTCTGTTCTTTATATTAAGAAGTAGCCCTAGGGGCAGGCGCTGTGGTGTAGCAAGTTGCCTTGCCAGCTGCTAAGAAGTTGCCTCCCTTCTGGGCGCTGGTTAGTGTCCTGACTGCTGCGTTTCCTACCCAGCTCCCCGCGAATGGCCTGGGGACAGCAGTGAAAGAGAACTCGTGTTTGGGCCCTGTGTTCATGTGGGAGATCTGGAGCAGGCTCCACCTTCAGCCCGGCTCAGTTTCAACCGTCTGGGGAGTGAACTAAGACACGAGAGCTCTCCCTCTCCCGCTCTTGTATAAGTCTAGTTTTCAAATAAGTAAATCTTTAAAAGAAGAAAAAGCAACCAAAAAACCATGGGCCTGTCCACACGTCCACCTTTAAACCTTTGCAGTTGTTTAGGAAATTCTAGAATGCACATTCATATATTAAGAGTGGTCATACTGAGAATGAGAATACAACACCACATTCATGTACTATGTAATGTGACACTGATAATGACAAATTTCATACTGAACTCCAGCTAATACTCAGGAAAATTAATTTCCAAGCTACCAAAAGTAGCTTTTGATTCTTTTCTAAAGAACTTCATTTAACTGCCTTTGATAACAGTGTCCTATATGGGTGCCAGTTCAGGTCCTGGATACTTTATGTTCAATCCTGCTCCCTGCTAATGACCTGGAAAAAAGCATCAGAAAAAGACCCAAGTGTTTGGGTCCCTGTCACCAATATGGGATTGCTGAATGAAGCTCCTAGGCCTGGCTTCTGCCTGGCACAGGAGCACCAGTTGCAACCATTTCAGGAGAGGACCAGTGGATAGAAGATCTTTCTGTTACTGACTTTAAATAAAAAAGTGAAATTTGCTTTTTAAAGATTTACCTAAGTTTTCTATCTTATGACTTATACACAACTAGGGTAACAGTGAAGTGTTCACTACACAGCTGACATTTTCAAGTTTCCTTTTAAGTGATTCAAAACCAAGTTTTCTAAGATTAATTATATCTGAAGTAATCCAGATGTGTTCTACTTCCTATAAATAGTGTATAAGAATACATTTGCCTTTCCTAACAAGAGGTTTATAGAAAAATGGAAGTAAAAGGTAAATTTGAGGCAAAAATGTTTTACAATCCATTTTTCTTGTACACATTTTCCATGAACGCTCTGAAGATGCTGCATCATTTATGGATAGGACTCAGTTATTCGCAAACACAAGCAAACACTGCCATGTGACATCATTGCTATAGTTTTTTAAACCCTGAGATATACCCCAGACGGTCTAGCAAGGGGGAAATGAGCTGTAACCATGGTAGCTGGGGATGTTAATCTGCATAACTAAAGGAAGCCAGGTGGTCGGCGGCACCCAGTTGCACAACACTGTTTCCCTCACTAACAAGTTGTCGATAAATCCCATTTCCAAGGCTTGCTCATCATCACCGCTTTGCAGGTGGCACAGGAGACGCAACTTGCCTCTGCTTATTAAGAGGTGAGCAAGGTCACACGTTTGCCCCCAGCATGTTACAGGCTAGGGCTTTGTCAATATAAGGCGCTTTGTGGAGGGAGGTTACCCTGCAGGCCCTGGAGGCCGAGATGGAGTTGGCTTTACTAGTTTGCCTGCTCTCTTTCCAATTTCAATCGCCTTTTGGTTTCCCTGCCAGAAACATTTCTCTCAAGTGCATGCGGGACACTGCCCAATTCCTCGCTGATCTGAATTCAGCAAAGCCGGAGGAATACGCGCTGAGAAGTAAGTTGGTTTTCCTGGCCCGTTGAGTAGAGGGACAGAAGGCAGTCTGAGGTTCATACTAGACTTGTTAGACACGGAACAAAGTTGAGACGTGTCTTAGTGCACGAACTGCACTAGGAATGCCAGGTGGGGGAAGGATTATTATAGATGGGTCTGTCCGTCCAGCTGGAAGGAATCTCACAGGGACCAACCTCTTCCAAAGATGAGGATTGTTTATCAATTGCGTGATGCTGTGTGGTGTTACTGACGGTATTATTGACATTGGCAATGTAGTATCATTGCATGAGATTGCTTGGTTTACTTCTGTTTCTAAACATTTACTCTGTCTTTGGTGAGGAGTTGCTCCATCATCATGGAAAACTTTTGTCATATGTGCTAGATGGCAACTTGGAAGGCACGTGTTGCTGAGTGCACTGGCTTGAGCTGGAGGAACCAACTGCAGCCCACCTTCTGTGTGGGAGGTGGTGGTCTCTGGGAGTGAGGGGGGAAGGGGTGACTCTAATGTGTTTTCTGCTGTTTTGCTAATGTTGTCACAACCAAGGGTGCACACACATGCTCTTGCGTGCAGAAAGTCAGGCTTGTTTCATGGGGCAACTTCTGATTCAGAATGAGTCAGAGCGGATGCTGACAGGAGCCGCTGGCCAGGGGATGCGTCAACGGTCACTCTTTCAAAGCACAATCAGCCAACAATGATCTCCACTTGGAATGCTTCACTAGTTCAGTTCTCATTGAAAAACACCTCGCAGTGTGATATACACCATAAAGCTAAGCTGAAGTGTTGCTACCATATTGAGTCATTTACAATAGCACCTGAGTTGAAGTAGTTATTTTACACTGAATTATCTTGGTGTTTAATAAAATGGGGGTTAAATATAAGTCTAATTAATTCAATAGCTTATCTTCTTTATTTTTGTTTAAAGACTTATTTGATTGGAAAGTTAGATATACAGAGAGGAGGAGAGGCAGAGAGGAAGATCTGTCTGCTGATTCACTCCCCAAGTGGCTGCAATGGCCAGAGCTGTGCCCATTCTGAGCCAGGAGCCAGGAGGCTCCTCTGGGTCTCCCACATGGGTGAAGGATCCCAAGGCTCTGGGCTATCCTCAACCACTTTTCTAGGCCACAAACAGGGAGCTGGATGAGAAGTGAAGCCACCAGGATTAGAACTGGTGCCCATATGGGATCCCAGCACATGCAAGGTAAGGACATTAGCCACTAGGCTACCATACTGGGCCCCATACCATTTTTTAGAATGCCCTGGTATCTATAAAAATAAATACCTTGGAATAAACTTAAGCAAAGTTATGAGGTACCTCTACAGTGTAAAATGGATAAATGGATTGCTATCAAACCACAAAGCTTCTGCTCAGCAAACAAACCAAGAGGGAAGAGACCATTGACAGAAGGACAGAAATGCCTGTCAGTAGTTCATCAGAAAAAGGTGGAGCATGTAGAATGTGCAAGGAGTGAACAAAAACCTCAGGGAAAAGATGGCAGGAAATCTCTGGATAGATATTCCACAAAAGAGATACAAGTGGCCAATAAACACATGAAGAAATCTCAGGTGTCATTGACCATCAAGGCTATGAGATTATCCCACTCCAATTATGATGGTTATTATCAAAAACCAAAGCAAAGAGCTGGAAGGGTACAGAGGAAGCAAATAGTGGTGGGCATGCAAATTGCTGTAACTGCCGTGCAGAACAATACAGGCGTTCTGCAAAAAGTTAAAAATACATTATATGACCTCGATATCCCGCTCGTGGGTGTGTATTCAGACAGAGAAGTCAGCATTTTACAGACACACCTGCACTTCCATGTAAGTTGCAGCAGTATCCACAAGAATTAAGGCACAGAGTCAAACTGTGTGTCCACTGCCAGATGAATGGATAAAGAAAATGTTGTGTGCACACACACATACACACACACAAATACTATTTAGGTACAAAAAGAAAATTCTGACATCCATCGCCAAAATGGGTAGAAGCAGATGTCACTATGTTAAGTGAAAAGAACCAAACACAAAACGAGAAGTCAATGTTGTCTCTCAGTGGTGGAAGTAAAATAATAAATGCCAATAACCTTTTTTTCTTAAATGATTTACTTAAGAGAGAGAGAGGTGAGAGAGAAAGAACAAGATCTTCTGTCTGTCAAATGACTTCAACAACTAGGTCTGGGCCAATCCAAAGCCAGTAGCCTGGTCTCCTACTTGGGTACAGGAGCCCAAGCACTTGGGCCATCACTTGTTGCCATCCCAGACACAGTGGCAAGAAGCTGGACCAGAAATGGCAGAGCCAGGACTCCGTTGCTCTGCTATGGGAAGCAGGCATTCCGAGCAGCAGAGTAAGGCGCTGTGCCACAGCGTTCTGAGCTGTCACCACACTTGGCTGCCTGTGGCCTTGAGGATTCATTCCAGGCCAGATGAGCCCCAGATCTGAACTTAGAATAAAGATTACTAGATGCAGGCAGGGTTTGGGGCAACACAGAAATTGTGGGTTCTAGTGTTCCAGACAGTGGGGCAATTCCAGTTCACAGTACTGTATTATGTCTTATATGAAAGACTGGAAGAGGAGAATGAAGATGCTCCAAGGACAGAGATAAGAAAATGGATAGGCAGATTGCCTTGTTTGATCAGGATACTCTGTGTGCATGTATTGAAATGATGCACTAACCTATGCCCTATAAAACTGTAATTCAGGTAAATTCAGGTAAAATGAGATAAGTTTGGGTGGGGGAGCCAAGCCCAGTGACTGATGCTCTTGGAGAACAGACAGGCAAGGGGGAGACCATATAACATGACAACGACACAGCAGCCATTTCGCAGCCAAGGAGAGGGCGCAAAACACCCCAAGCCTGCTGACAGCTCGAGCGTGGAGGGAAGGCTGCCAGAACTAGGGCAAAACCAACCCCTGGCGTTTCGGGCGGCAGTAGTTTGTTAGAGAAGCTCTAAGAGATCAACATAGCATGACACATTTTCTTCTCAGTATAATGTAAGGTACCGCCTACTGGGATGGTAGCATAGGTTGAATTTTGTCTCCCTCGCTGTTCTCTCCCCTATCCCTCCCCCGCCAAAAAAGATATATTGAAACCAGAACCCCCAGATCCTGGGTATTTGACCTGACTTGGAAATAGTCTTTGCATATAGTTAAATTAGGGTACTGGGATACTGATTAAGGCAGGTCCTAATCCAATGGTCAGTGTCCTCTGCCAGGGAGACTTGTATGCAGACACACACAAACTGCCTGACCTTGCAGGCTGAGCGTGGAGCACTGCACCTGTGGGCCCAGGTTTCCTGGCAACCACAAGGAGCAGGCAGAGGCAGAGACGAAAACAGCCTGCAGAGCCCTCGGGTCCAGACATCTAGCCTCCAACACCCCTGGGCAACTTTGTTAGGCCAACCCTGGGAAATGAGCACAGATTGGCTCTGCCCTCACGCCACATGAACATATATCATCAGCAATGGAAGGAGAAAAAGCCGCTCAGCGTGGGGTAGGTGCTGGGCAGCCTCTCCCCGAGTTGTAGCAGGCCCAACCTGCTCCGGCAGTTTCTCAAGTCCAGCCCTACCCGTGTGTGCCTGTCTATGGCCTAGGCCTTGCGGGGAACACCCCTGGTGTGGCCTGCTAACTCTACCCCTGGTCTTGCAACCAGTTCTTCAGTTGAAGCCCAGCAATTAATCATCTAGGCATTTTAATATTCATTCATCATCGACACCACTTGACAAAGACAATTTGCCAATTATCCCGGCAGAATTAAAACAAGTTTTTAATTTTTTGAAAATGAAATCTCCGAGCAGCTGCTGTGTGATTTGAAGTGGCAGGTGCAATTCATCACCGGTTGATTGTATTCCTTCCTCCTGTGACCATCGCCAGGCACTCGGATTTGGATGGCATCTCTCAGGTAATTTGGCAGAAACCAATTAAAGACCAGGCTGGAGAAGGGCCACCTGTCCACTTGAGCTCATATTCAGCAAGCAAATGCAATTTACGTGCACACAACCACACAACAAATACCCACAAACAACAAGCCAATGAAGTCAAACAGCAGTTGAAAACAAAATCCGAACTGAACTTTCTCAAAGGAAGAATCAGGTTGCCCTATTTTTGTGCCCTCAGGTCTTGCCTAAGGGGGAAGCCAGGCTGTTTGTCTCACCCAGCCCGGGTTGCTGCACATTCCTAAATTCTAGGCTCTGGTGTTTGGGACATCCAGTCAAGGACAGAGAGGGAAACAGAATTGTCTATTCTGTTTACATTAAGTATGTCCATTTGTGTTGTTTTTCTAACAGGGAAGAACTCAACTCCTTTGGGGAACTAGATCTTGGGTGTAGGAGGTTTTCTTTCTTTTTTTTTTTTTTTTTTCAAAGTTTCAGTTCAGCAAATGCCATGACATTAGTTCAGACCACTCCTGCCCCCTACCCCCGCGAGACAGAGGAAGTTACACACTGATAGTCATGTTACCTTTCAACATGACATCCTGAGTCTGTCTGCAACTTTTCCTGGAGGAGCGCATCTTCTGGCTGGATCCAAGGGCTGCCTCAGCCTGTGCCAGGCAGATGGGACGGCGGGAATTTCCAGGAGGCAAGGGCCCCAGGCCACAGTCTGGCATATTCCATGAGACTGGTGGGGCGAGTCTGGGCACGAAGGGCCTTGTAAGCACTCTCAGGAGCCTGGAATTAATCTGGCTACGCTTTAGAATCACCTGAAAAGTCTCAAAAGCTAGCACTACCTACACCTCCCAGCCCTGACCAATGAAGCCATCTTCTGTGAGGGTGGAGCCTGGGATGGAGCACTTAGCGCAAAAATCCTCAGGTGATGCCAAGGCCCTCTGAGGCAGAGTCACAGGTGCAAGCATGAATATCAGAGGTGATATATAGCAACTGTGGGGGCGACACTCCGGGTTTGGCTCCAGCAAACCCTGCAGGTGACACCGGCATGAGCCAACTGTGGACAACCACAGGCCACCCTTGTCCCTGAAGAAGATATTCCAGCATCAGCCAAGACAATTGTGTCAAGCAGGGCTAATTCACGCCCCAAATGGCTGCAATGGCTGAGTGGGGCCGGCTGAAGCCAGGAGCCAAGGAGCTTCTTCCGGGTCTCCCTTGCGCATGCAGAGGTCCAGCAAATCCCCAGAGGCTTTAGCTTTTACCTAGGGTATTAGCAGAGAGCTGGATCAGAAGTGGAATAGCCGAGACTTGAAGTAGTGCCCACAGCATATACCGGCACTGCAGATGGCAGCTTTGCTCACCATACCATAGCTCCAGCCTCATCACTTTTTTTTTATTGTGGTTCAAAAATAAACAAATTAAACAAATAAAAATAATTGACTTTCTACAAAGTCCTACCAAACCAAATACAAACTGTTGTAAATAAGAGTAACCTTTTCCTGGTTATGTGTAGAGAAAAGTTTAAGCTATCTTTTCACTCCCCAGAATTTTTTAGAGGATTTATTTATTTATTTTAAAGTCAAAGAGAGAGAGAGAGAGAGATCTTCCATCCTCTGATTCACTCCCCAGATGGCTATAACAGCCAGATCTGTACCAGGCTGCAGCCAGGAGCTTTATTCAAGTGCCCCACATGGATGGCAGGAGCCCAAATGCCCAAGCAAGCCATCGTACGCTACTTTCCCCTGGCCATTAGCAGGGAGCTGGCCTGGAAGTGGAGCGGCCCAGGCATGTTCTGGCATCCATGTAGGGTGCTGGAGTCACAGATGGTAGCTTTACCTCCTGTGCCACCACATTGCTACCCTCAAGTAACACTTCAAAAAAGAAATCCATCTTTTTCTTTTGCAGTAGCTCCTAACAGCCATGGACTAGCAAGAGGATGTTCACTGCTGTTTTTGCCTTAGTGGTGAGGGAGAATGGGGTTGTGCAAAATGTAGGCATGTGGAATGGAATCGCAGCAGATTCTCTTTCCTTAAAAATACCTATCTATCATCTCTCTGTTGATCTACTTGGGAGGCAGAGAAGGCTTCCGTCAGATGGTTCACTTCCTAAATGCCCACCGTGTCTGGGACTGGGCTGGGACACAGCCAGGAAGCAGGTTTTCCATGTGGTGGCAGGACCCCAGTCACTTGAGCCATCCTTGGGGCCCCTCAGGGCCTGTATTAGCAGAAAGCTGGCATCAGAGTTGGCATTGAACCCAGAGACTCCTATATACATGATGGGCATCTTATGGCGCTGTAACCTCCAGGGCTAAGCTTTCATCCTCTCTTTTTGTGATTGCATAAACTCGATAGATCTATAAGTTTGATACATGGAGCTAAGTACCTGTAGATTCATTTGAAAGTGCCACAAGAAAGCTCATTTTGCCAACTTCTTCTGCTTTGAACTTCAGTGTACGACTCAGTGGGGAAGATTGGGAGCAACGTTCTTAATGGAAACGTGGACAGGCTGGGGTCCTACAGTGAGTGCCTCTCCACCCATGCCTCTGCGGGCAACTTCCAAGGCCAGTACTGCAAGCTCCACATCCTGCAGGTGAGTGGGGCAGGGTCAGGGGGCTAGGTGCTCGCTCTCAGAGGACCGTGGCCATCACGCAGTGCTCCACAAGGCCATGGCGCTGATGGCTTTTCTTAACTACATAGCTGGAAATAACCAAACAAAACAATAGTCCATTATGTTTTTCAAAAGCCAAAATGAAATTTTAAAGAATTAGCAGAAACATGCTCAATGTGTGAGCATGAGACACAAGAGACATTTGTTCCCAAACCTCCTAGGCCTGAGATATTTCTGCTGTGGACTAAGACCCCTGGAGGACCTCTATGGGGCATCCAAGATCAGAGGCCAGGTAGCAACTCTGCTGGCGAGATTCTGCGCATGCTCTGTGGGATTGTCCACGGCTAACTTCCTCCCTTGGGAGCTTACCTGAGACTGCGGTAGAGTGGGGGCTCCGTGCTACGTGGGGTTTTGACGTCTTTCTGCCTTCTCTTCACCAATGTCTAGGCTGGTCCCTTACTGCCAAAGGTGCCACTCCATGCTTGGGCTGGGGGTGACACTGAGAACCCAGGAACACACCCTGAGCACCTGCTCCATGCTCAGCATCAATCCTTGGGATAGCAGAGGGAGGGAGCGCTTCCTTCATTTGTGATCTTTTATCAGATGCGGGGCCCCACATGCAGGTTATCACAGCAGCTGGGCTATCGTTTTTATGACTACCTTGCTAGATCCATGGGCCAAGGTTGCAGGGCTCACAACCTTGAAAACAGGGTAATCCTTTTACTGCTTAGAAAATATACCATGAAGGGCACAGCTGCTTGTTAAATACAAACTCAGATTTTATGTGTGTCACTCAACAGTGAAAGAACATGACACTGCTGGCTGGCTAACCACAATTGCACAAAGTCAGTAACAAGTGGGAGAAATGATCATTCCTCCTGCCGAGGGTCAAGGGTCAGGGTAATGACTGCGTGAGGATTTCAGCCCTGTGGACAAATGTCCTGTTCAAAGCAGTTGAATGCTTTTGATATCTGAGCAAAAGGACTGGCTGACACAATCATGCCGGGCAGGGATTTAAAGAAGCATTTCAGAAATGTTCACCTACAATGTGATTGTTGCTGATTAGGACAGACATTCTAATTATTGGCTTCATTTGTTATACATTCTTTACTTGATACATGTGTCCTGCTACCAAGACACGGTAAATTGGCAGTTAGTACTCAAAACTGTCAGTCTGTACCGAATGACCTCCAACAGGGAAGAGACATGCAATGAGGCATGATTATCCCAAACTGGTGGCTGCCTTAAAAATAATAAGCCACAGAAAGCTTGGGGCTATACTTTTATTTCAATGGGGATGCACTGGATGTTCTGGGAAGTCACTGGATCCTCCCCGTAATAGAAAGACCACGCCTTAAGTGGTGAGAAGCTTTTCCTTTGCTTACCACCCTTCTCACCTCTACTGATCTGCTTAATTTATGGACAGTGCAGCAGCAGCATTGCTCAGCATGTCTGGCCCTGCGTGTGTGCTGTGAACACGCAAGGTAAAGAGCATCGGATGGCTTTGTTTCCCAGGATGGAGCCGAGTACAGCGTGGGCCTGTGTGTCCCTGACTCCTGTGCTGAAGCGGATGTAACGATGATGTCACGGCTGGGTAGGTAGAGATCACCACGTGAGCACGTGCCTCAGCCTGAGGTGGGAAAAGCTCCTGTTCTGCAGAGTCAACCAAGGCAACGCCTCTGGGCTGAACCAACCCTTCGTTCTGAACATCCCAACAGATTGAGAAACATGGAGTTTGGGGAGGAGTGGGAGAGGAGGTGATAGAATAGAAACAGAGTGCGTGGGAAGGGAGAGAAAGAGAACCAAGAGTCGAGTCCTACATAATCACAGAAGTTACCTGCCAGATTGGCCTAGAAAAAGGGCTCGGTGGGGGTAGCTCCCATAATCGTGTGTTCCCTGGCTGGCCCGTGTGTGGCCATCTGTCACCTGCCAAATCCAGGCTACTCTGCCCAGGCTTGTGTGAGACCCACATGCAGGAATGGACTCAATCTAGGAGCCCGACGTCCGGCCCTGGTCACCACCTGCTGGCTGTGTGATTCTGTGCAGTCACCAGATTTCCCTTAGCCCGTCCCGTCCCCTGTGCAGCGAGGGTGGACTCTGACGTTCACCTTGGCTCCATCTCCATGTGGCCTGATCGCCACGGTCCACCATTGCTGGGCAGAAGGAATACATTTAAGTTCATGTGGAGACTGACTTGATTTCCTTCAACTCTTGCAAACTTTTCAAAGCAAGAACTTTAAAATCTTAAGTTTTTGCCTCTAGGGCTTATTTATTTATTCTGAAATCATCCAAATAAGAACCAAGTGGCTTGTTGCGGAGTCCTCCTTTACTAAGTTCTTAGTGCAGCTGGTTCTCAACGATCTTCAGTTGTCCTCTGAATTTACGATGTCCCTTATGGCGTCTACAAATATTTCATGTGCTGCTTGAAAAAGTCAAATCATTCACAATCAAATTCAGATTTTCATGCTTGTTAGATTAAGTCATGAATATCCTAGAAACAAAGATTAATTTGCGAAATTTTTATTAAATTAGCATTTCAAATGAACAAGGGACTCCCTAAGTTTTCTGCTAATGGTCTTTATTGTTGAGTAGATTTTATTAATTTGCCTAATTTTTCTGGCTAATGCCAAGTTTATCGGTCAGAGTTGATATCAGAATGAAAGAGAACGCTAGAAACAGCTGCTGTGGGTGTGCATCTGGTACACCTGATCAGTTACCATTTGGGACACCACATTCCCACCTCGGAGTCCCTCGGTACAAGTCCCAGCTCTGCTTTCCATCTAGCTTCCCAGTGAAGTGCTCCCTGGGGGAGGCAGCAGGTGATAACCATTTAAATCTTTGCATACTGCCCCCATGCGGCAGATCTGGGTGGAGTTCTGGGCTCCTAGTTTTACCCTGGCCCAGCCCAGCTGCCATGGACATCTGCAGAGGCAACCAGTGAGCAGAAGCTCTTTGCCTTTCTCACTCAGCCTTTCCAATAAGCAAAAAATTAAAAAAAAAAAAACCCCAAAAAAGTGTTATAGAAAATTAGGCATTTGGAGAAAGCAGAATTTGGAGAAAAACAAAGGGAAGGTTTTCTCTGGGGAAGAGGACGAAGGAAAGGCACGGTCTGGGTGAATTCAGCTCACCTGGGGGATGTTAGCAGCATTTAGTCTTCATGGCCAACGCAGCTTCTCGAACCTTGGCACGGAGGCAGGGAAAGGCAGGCATCTTTGCTCAGGGGCACAGTGCTCATCTGGAAGGGATTTTTCAGCTAGTCCTCAAAGTGCTTTGATGTAGTTGCCCAGATTCCCTCTGCGGATGTGGGAACAGCCAGCTCAGCAGCCCCACCAGCAACTGTGGGCCTGTTCTTGACTCAGCCGGGCAGAAGAGTCGGGAGGGGGTGGGCCGGGGAGGGGTCATGTCTGCACTGCGGAAGAAGGCAGAGAATGCGTGGCTTGTGGCCCACGCCTAGGGGAAAACACTGCAAAGCCCTTATCCTGGGATGCTATAAAATGTCACCCAAAGGGTGTTACGTGAGTTCCGAGAACAAAAGCTTGGAACACCAGAGTGCAGAGTTGCCGGCCAACTTGGATGTGGAGGTTATGAAGCCCAAGGAGAGCCCGTCTCCCTGAAAACGCAGATCCGTGCCAATGAGCACCATTACCTGTGCCCATTTTCTGAGACCACAACTGGATGGCTTGAAACAAGAGAAATTTCCCAGTTCTGGAGACTGGCTGTCTGGAGCCCAGGTGCTGAGGAGGTCAGATCCGCTAGGATCCACTGGTTCTGTGCGTCTGTGCTACTCCTTAGCGGGGGCTTGTACCGCTTGCTGCTTGCTGCTGGTGGGTGGATCACTCTGGTCTCTGCCTCCCTTTTGCATGGTGCTTGTCTTTGCCTTTGTATCCAGACTTCCCTGTTACAAGGACTCCATTTATGATGGCTACCAGGGCCACTCTGACCTTGACCCCGTTCCTGTTGAGTCGATGGCCTCCATAGCGATTCTGTTTCTGCCACAGTCACATGTTCCAGAGATTAGGACCTGAGCCTTTCTGAGATGACTCATTTCAGCCTAGAGCATTACCAGATCTGCTTCCTGGTCCAGGAAGCCGGGAAGAAGCTGCCTCCGGGCCACTCAGCCGTGCCCTGCATTTAGCGCCTACTCAACAGATGCTGCAGATGCTAGTCATTTCCTCCCTGGTTCACTGTGAGGCCAGGGACCCTTGTCTAGACAGAATGGCACAAGAACTGAAAAGGCAGGGGCCTGTCTGAGGGATCCCTTTGACGCTGGGTTGGCAAAGCTGGTGCAGACTCACACTGCCCGGCTACGTAGTCCAACCTTACAGATGTGCTCAACAATGGTGCTGCTAGAATTTTTTCTTTAAAGATTTATTCTATATTTTTTTTTATTGGAAAGACATATTTACAGAGAGAAGGAGATATAGAGGAATATCTTCTGTCTGTTGATTCACTCTCAAAGCAGCTGCAACGGCCGGAGCTGCGCCAATCTGAAGCTAGGAGCATCTTCCTGGTCTCCCACACAAATGCAGGGTCCCAAGGATTTGGACCGTCCTCAACTGCTTTCCCAGGCCACAAGCAGGGAGCTGGATGGGAAGCGGGGCTGCTGGGGTTAGAACCGGTCCCTATATGGGATCCCAGCACGTGCAAGGTAGGGACTTTTACCCACTAGGCTACCACTCTGGGTCCACTGCTGGAAATTTTATAATACTTTGGGAGGGCTGTTGATAGTAAACCCTGAATTGCTCTCTTTTCATCTTTACCTGTTGGAATAACTAGGCCCACCCCGTAGAAGAATGGTGCCGCAGGTGCAAAGGATGATACCGCCTCCCCCTCCCCCAACTCTTATAGATTCACCAAGCACCCAGGGAGAAATAGCGCCATTTTCACAGTACAAAGAGGTGAAAGGAATCCAAAGCATTCCACAGGATATTGTTTCCTGTTCTCAATTGAATTCAGAAAGTACTGAGCAATAATCTATCTGGTCTTTGTATGAAGCATCACACTTTCGTGTCCACATCAAAGCATGTGGGAGTAACTCATTTCAGGAAACCAAACAGTTAGTTAGCAAGAGTGCCTGGGTCATCAGGAAACGCTGTTGGGAACTGAGGACCCGATTTCTGGTTGTGTGCCAGGAATGAGCCTGTGGACCAGAGGAGAGAGGAGAAAGGGTTTTGATAAAGAGGGCTCAAGCGGGTGCCACATCAGTGCAGAGGTGGGAATCAGATCAAAAGTTTCCTACAGTCCTGTGCAGACCTGGGATTTGGCCTGGTGTAGATATTAGACAGGATATTAGCCTGTGTGGTGAGAGGGGCTGGAGGTAAACAAAGCACCCTTGGAAAGGGAGGTAGCAGCCTTGGAAGCAGCCCAGTATTTAAACTACAAAATCCTGCCCCTTCCCCAATAGCCTGACAGGTGGTCCCAGCCTATCTCCCCCAGGGAAAACCCTTCTGCCCAGGAGAAGAGTGTGTGAGGAAGGAGAAAGGGCAGGCAGAACTGGAGCCCACGCCCTTACGTGCCCCTGTCTGCATACAGACTGCCCTTTAGTCTTTCCTGAGATGCCTGCCTGGCATGTCAGGTGTACGCTCTCCATTAAACTGTGTAGCCTTGTTTGTCCAGCATGAACGGACGCTGGGTTAAACTCTTTAGATTGTGTTTGCAGAAGTTCCCATTCATCCTGAAGGATTAAGCCTTGCTACCTTGTTTGCCACCATGCTCTGTCCCACCCCGAATTCTCTCTTGCGTGAAGACAAGTGCCTCTATTGCAGCCGCCTCTCTGAACATAGATCCTTGAGGTCGATTGAAGGTACAAGGCACCAGTGGTTTTGTTGGCTTTGGTGAACTTAGGGCCAGGGTGGGCCACTTTGTCCTGGGGCTGCTGTGGTCATCTGTCTCTGGGACTCTGACACAGATGATTCATACCATGATGTGCGGCTGGACAGGCCCAGGAAGCCCACACTGTCCGTGGCAGCCTATGCTTGCAGCCTTGGCCTGGCCCCATGCTTGTGACACTCCTCTGTGGAGTGTGGGCACAGGGGTCTCTACGAAAGGTCCTTCGAAGCTGCTTTTGGAAGGGCTGGGGCAGGGTCCACTCTATCCAGCTTTTTTTTTTGTATAGAGTCTTAGGGTCGGCAGGAGACTGGGTGGATTTTCTGGAGGAAGAGAGTGGGCTGTCTACAGGGCTGTCTTCAGATCCAGCTCCCTGTTTATAGGCTGTTTCTATGTCTCTTCCAAGGGAGATAAATGATCAGGAAGATGCAGCCACTTGGCTTCTGCTCCCTTCATTTTGAATCTTAGTCTCTAGGACCCAGCGCTCCTTATCTAGGTTGCCCTAAGCCCATTTCTCAGGAGTGACCATCAGAGGCAACAGTGGAGCTGAGGCTGGACACAGACCTTTGTGTACAGCACCCGAGAGTGCAGGAGCAAGTGGGAAGAAGTGGGGTGAGGGCCAGGAACTGATGCAGGAGTGTCTTGTTGAACCATCCCCTGTACTCTTTCTCCAGATCTTGTAGGCGTAATGGTCAAGGCTAAGTAACTGGAGGCCAAAGCTGGTAATGCCAGAAGTGTAGCCAGGGCTCTGATGCTTTCTAACCCACATGAGTATTCCAAAGTGCTTATGCACCAAAATGAGCTTTTTTTTTTTTTTTAAAGTTTTATTTTGTTTACGTCTTTGGAAGGCAGAGTTATGTGGCTAAGAGGAGAGAAGAGATCTTTCATCCACTAATCTACTCTCCAGGTAAGCAAAAACGGCTTGCCCACAGCTGGCGCTGCTGCCTTAGGAAGCTGAGATGGACTTATCCCTTACTCAGGTATACCGCAGGCTTCCCAGAGCTCACCACAGCTGCCCTGTGTCACCAGCAAGAGCCCCACAAAGCGTTGCTTCCAGCAACTCCTGGCCCACGTCCTAAATGGATGCTCTCTGGTATTAACTCAGATGGCATCCTTGGCAGGATGGAGGGCACTCTTTGAGTCCTTCCATCTTCCGTTTATCACCAGTGTGGGCAAGATCTGTACACAAGCAGATGAGAGCCGGCCCTGGTGCATTCTTTAGTCTGGTTGCTCCCAGAGCCAGGAGCTGGCAAGGATGTGAGAGTCCTGGCAGGCTGAGGATCCAGGAGAGTGTGGCCCATTTCCCACGAGCTGAGTTCCCAGCTCAGCATCTGTGTGTTCTGCATCTCATCTGTGAATCAGACACAGTACTCACTCTGGACCCTCAGAGGCTGGGTGCTGGGACTCCCGTGGAGCTGCAAATCCCTGGGTGCTCGTGTCTCTTGTGCAAAATGCCAGTCTTTTCCTCTAATCTCTGCACTGTCTGAGCCCTTTAAAGCATCTTCAGCTTGCTTGCACCTGGGAATGTAATTGCTACTGCATTGTTTGGGGAATAATGATGAGCAGAAAAAATCAATAAGCATTCAATACAGGGGCAATTTTTGCCCAAATAACTTTGACCTGTCTTTGGTTGAATCTGTGTCCATACAAGCCCCAGACACAGAAGCAGACTATGTAGTAAAAGTGCTCCCTGACCTGTGTAACATCAAGATTTTATTTTTATTAAAAAGGCAGAGTTACAGAGAGAAGGTGAGACAGAGAGCTCTTCCATCTGCTGGTTCACTCCCCAAATGGCCACAATGGCCAGAGCTGGACTCGTTTGAAGCCAGGAACCAGGAGCTGCTTCTGATCTTCCCAAGAGGGTGCAGGGGCCCAAGGACTTGAGCCATCCTCTGCTCATAAGCAGGGAGCTGAATGGGAAGTAGAGCAGCTGGAATAAGAACTAGCACCCATATGGGATGCTGGTGCTGCAAGCAGGAGCTCAACCCACTCTTCCACGGCACCAGCCCCAGGTTTTATTTTGAAATGAAAGAAATGAATGTGCTTGGAGGCATATGGAGCATCATTGCAAACTCAAGTAACTGATGCAATTTTTTTCTCCTCTCTCGGTAGGTATTTTGAGATTCAGAAACACTTCATTTCTGGCTCCTTCCCTCTCTCTGTTTGCAATGAATTCTTCCTCCTTTCCTGGCTGGGGAGTGGCCAGATGTGCTGCTGGAAAGTTCTCCATGGATGCATTTGCTGCCATATGTCTGTAAGTCCAGGCACCCCAGGGACCCTGATGGACTGTTGGCTGTTGAGGCTTCTTCTGCAAGCTTCTTTCCCTAGAACTTGGCCAGTTCTTTCCATCCACTAACAGGTGCTGGCCAGTTCCATCCTGGGCTCTAAGTAACACATCGTGTGTTGATACTGAACCCTCAAGGGGCTGACACTAGGAGAGGGGAGACTTGGGAGAGACTGATAAAGATGGGACTCCAGAACATTCTCTAGCTCCTTCCATACCTTATGAGGAGACTGTCCCAAGGCACCACCCAGGAGCCAGCAAGTGAAGCCAGTGAGTCTGCCAGTGCCTTGGCCTTTGCCATTCTCCAGAATGGGAGGAAGCTGTTTTTGTGGTTGATTCGCTGCCCAGACTATGGTAGGTAGTTAAAGAAGTCAGGGCAGAGCAAGACACAAAGAGATCGCACTGACTGTCAACAAGAGACTATGGAAGGTTTCATGGAGAAGGCCAACCACTCACTACTTCCCATGTGACTGGGCTTCAGAACCTTGTGGAAATGCACTCTGTCCCCAAACATGCCTGTTCCCTTGTTGTGGGACCACCCAAGATGAATGGCTAGGACTTGAGACCCTGCCTCTCCCTCAGGTTGCAGCAATTTGGTTCATTACCTCTTTTTTGTATCTTGGATTGCTGCTTGGGAAAAAGTAAATACAAGGAGAATTGCTGGGTCACAACCCTTGAATCATCTGACACAGTATTGTGAATGCCAGCAGCAGCCTCCGTCCACCTCATGGTCATGGCTCTTGATTGTGCCCAGAGGCCATGTCCAGTCACCTGACCTCCATACCCTCTGGGTTTACATAAGCACACTCAGTGTTAGCGCAAGGACAGAACTGCCTAAGACACCAGCAGCAACATTTCCCTATTGCCAGTGGCATGTGACTAATAGGGTAAGATGAGAATTCTTAGTCAAATCAGCTGAAAATTTTTCCCTCACTGTTTTGGTAGCTCTTTGTTCACATTTTTTTATGGTTATAATATGGAGTCAAGTAAAATCCATTCATTTTTTTTTGTCCTTTGCATTTTTTTCATGGCGTTTATTCTAGAACATCATTCCCAGCTAAGAAACTCACTAAAAATCTGTTCTTGTGTGATAGGCAGGCAGAGAAGAAGAGAGATCTCCCATTCATTGGTTCACTCTCCAAATGCACGCAAGAGCCAGGGCTGGGCCAGGTCACAGCCAGGAGCCAGAGGCTCAATCCAGGTATCCCCTGTGGAAGGCAGACACTCAAGTATTGGGGCCATAACCTGCTGCCTCCTGGGAAGGTGAAATCAGGACAGGAGCCAGGACTCAGCCCTGGGCATTCTGATACAGAAAGCTGGAGTCCCATGCAGTTGTCTCAAGCACTGCTCCAAATGCCCACCTCTAAATTCCCACTCATGTCAACATTCAGTGGTCTTGTTTCTCACAGGGCTGTTTTCTCTGCGTCTCACTTTGGTGTCATGGAGGTAAGGCTTCACTGTCATGCTGTCTTCTGTCTGCAGGTTCATTGTGTTGTTGGGCCTCACCCTCCCTTTGGCTGGGACCATCTATGTGGCAGCCAGGGCATGGGGATCAGTCCCTGGGACATTGGCAAGGTGTGCAGCCCTTTCTACCACCTACGGGAGTCTGCCTTGGAGAGAGACAGACAGCGATGAGCAAAGAAATGAAATTGGACCAACAGACGGGCTGTCCCCTCTCTCATCGCCAGGAGCCCCAAGCAGAGGAAAAAGTAGGCATCAAACTAAGACACTTCGGAGGTGACATAAATGAGCATGCAGCTGGAAAACACTTCTTGCAGGGCTGGAGTCTCAGGAATGTGCAACTGCTGTACAACTGCTTCTAATGGTCCTGGTGGAGGGTTTCACAGTCCCACCTTTGTTTCCTGTCTCCATGTTGGGGCAATGCGAGGCCGCTCAAAGCTGCTTTCTGTCCTCAGTAGAATACCCAGTGTTGCAGTGCAGCTGAGGGTAGAACACAGCTCTGGGCGTCATGGCAATTAACCAGTCTAGGAACGATCCCACAATGCCACTGTGTTTTCACTGTTGCAGCAACACACATAGTTCAGAGACATGTCTTGCCACCAGCAAGATAAATGGGCTTACATTGCAAAATGGAGCCAAGGGGTGGTGGGTTGGGGAGGAAGCAAGGATGCCTCACCAACTCCTTAGTCTACCCAAGCCAGAAGCAGCCCAGCATCCCCCAGCGACAGGCTGGCTTGCAGGGAGCCACACCATGCTGGGTCCCAGGGAGGAGCTAAGCCCACGGCCTTCATCCATCTGCCTGCCTGCGAGGCACGCAGGGTACAGGGGTCTTCCCAGTATTCACACAGTGAGAAAACCACACACGCATCTCAACACTTTTGCACCAAATTAAACATATCTTTTAAAAATTACGCATTCAGGAGAGAGAAAGAGGAAGGGAATCTCATTACATCCTTCAAGTTCTATCTACATCCATATTGAATCTATTAAAATGAATTAAAAATTAAAATAACATTTAAAATTACATGTTTATTTGAGAAGTAGGGGTATGGATGGACAGATACAAACAGAAATCTTCTGTCTACTGATTTACTTCCCAAATGCCTAACAGTAGCTAGGCTGACCCAGGTTGAAGCCAGGAGCTGGAAATTCAGCCCAGGTCTCCCATGTGGGTGGCAGGGCCAACTATTTGAGCAGCACCTGCTGCCTCCCAGTGTTGCATTAGCAGGAAGCCGCAACAGGGAGCAGAAGGAAGACTTGAATCTGGTCATTATTGACATGGGATGCGAGTGTCCCACATGGCTTCCCACCACCAGGTCAGTGCTTGCTCTTTAAATCTTTCCCAGAAATTTCTGAAGTGCCTTGTGTATGCATCTCACACAAGGAGCGTCAGATCAGGCACTGAACCTTAGGATGTGTGAAATGATGCTTGCACATCTACATAATTATCCCTCCAGGTGCCAGCTGAAGGGACAAAAGCTCTCACAGAAATTGAGAGCATGGACCAGACAAATGTGCTGAAGTGGCATTGGGGTGGTCATCTGGCGTGCACACACAGCAGAGTTTCTCAGGTCTAACTCAGATTTTAGGGCACAGATCAAACCAGGGGCAACACCAAGCAAATAGTCCCAACAAGAAAAACATAGACTACTTCTAGGTGATGCCAGACATGCTTTAAGAAGGCTCAGAACAGGGAAAGTTCTTCCCCAAAGCCAGAGGCACCATGAGCAGAGGGCACCTGCCCTTGAACCCATCTGTGAAGGGAAAAGTTTAATTGCCAGGCTGCTGAGCAAGGGTCAGTCCCTGCTACTACGACATTTGCACCCATGGCCTTTGCACTGCCATGGAGGGGCTGAAGAATAAATATATTCTGTGAGTAAATTACAGCCATGTCAGAAATTGAAGACAGTTCTGGTAGCTTTGCCTGCATCTCAGAACCCCTCCAACACTTCTCATGTTGATGTGGTTCTAGACCTCGCTTTGCCTCTGACCGGCCTCAGTCACGGTGGCAAGGCGAACGGAGCACACACCTAGAAGCCCCCTCAGCTCGCCCTTGATTGCTAACTCCATCTTTAGTGAAGATTCATCTGTGTGAGCCTTAGCTTCTCTCTGTGTAAAATGGGGTTTATAGATTCATTCTTCTTGTCCTTATTGTCCTTGGGGAAGCAAAGAGCAGAGGCCTCTGGCCTGGGGCCCGTGGAACTTGCTGAGCAGGCAGCAGGCTTGCTGGGTCCCAGGCTCATGCCACATGCTTCAGTTCAGCGGCCAGGAGCTCACTAGCCCCAGCCTTCACCCCCACACGAGCTGTATTTTAAGATCAGGTCACAGGATTGAAGGTAGATATACCTGGTATGGTGCCAGAAGCCAATCACTGAAATGTTAGGTCCCTGGTCCAAAATGAGACAAACACACACTCCCCACTTGCCTAGGATGGAAACCCTAGCATTACATTAGCTCTTTTCAGCAGCTATATTTAACTGTGGTCTCAAAATGGGAGTGTTCTTGATGTGTTACCATAGCGATTTCTGGAGTAGTTAATGCCAACAGAGGTAAAATGTCACATTCCTGTAGGTCTGGATATGGAAATGGAGGGACAGCAAGGCTTGGCATTTTATTCCTTGCTGTTTTACAGTCACCAGCAAGTCAGATGGACACAGGGTGCCTGTGCTTTCTAGAAGTTCACAGCCAAGTGGAGCATTTTCCATTTCTGGTTCTGCAGCATGCAGCTAACTGCTATGCTTGCTTAGTGTGGTTCTTCATGAGCCTGCCTTGCAGTTAGGTGGGAAACTGTGGGAGAATGTGGTGAAGAATATTTTTCCCTTTAAAAACTGTTTTTTTTTTTTGAAAAAAAAAAAACTTATATTCCTTCAAAAGCAGACAGAAGAGAAGCAAACGGGAGGGAATAGCACAGAAAGCTTTTATGTTTCATTTCGCAAAGGCTAGCAAACGCTGGGCTGGACCAAGGCAAAGCTGGGAGCTGGAAACTCTGGGTCTCCTACATGAGTAACAAGCACTCAACTGCAGCATCACCTTGCGCCCCTGAGAACGTGTGTTAGCAGGAAGCCAGGGTGGGGAGTGGAGACACAAAGGGAACCCAGGAGCTCTGACAAGGGATGCGGGGACCATAACAGGGACAGCTTGGTCATTTTGTATGTTGGGAAAACTGACATATTTGATTAATCTGTCAAGTGCTTGTCACTTTAGAGTGCTCTTCCAAAGATAAGGTGGTTAAGCATTGTCATTTGTAACTTAATTTTTGTCAGTTCTTCCAATCATTTCAAAACAGCTTTTGAAATGAAACTCTTTGGCATTGGCATGGTGGCTCAAAAGACTAATCTTCCACCTGCAAGCAGAGTGCCAGGAGCTCACCTATGGGTGCCAGTTTGTGTCCCGGCTGCTCCACTTCCCATCCAGCTCCCTGCTAATGGCGGGGGAAGGCAGTGCAGGATGGTCCAAAGCCTTGGGATCCTGCATCCACGTGGGAAACCTGGAAGATGCTCCTGACTTCTGCCTCCAGAGCAGCTCAGTGCTGGCCATTGCAGCCATTTGGGAAGGGAAGCGGTGGATGAAAGATTTTTCTTTCTGCTTTTCTCTGTAAACCTTCCTTTCCAATTAAAGACAAAACAAAACAAAAAGACCCCAAAAAGAAATGGAAGTATTTAAAGGATACACCTGTGCTACAAGAATATGCAGGCTTCTTGGCCTTTAAGAAAATGTACACATTAGAAAGGCATTTAAGAACTTGAAATGTGAGACTTTTAATCTTAAAACTAAACATTGCTTATATATATTTGAAATAAAAAAAAAGCCTTGCTACTTATTTGCCTAGGAGGTACCAAGTCAGCTACTTGACATTATTCTAGAATCGTAACAATAATCCTTCAAAAATTTTTGCCTATTAGAAATGAGTGGGGGGGTGGGATGGTGGGATGCTACAGAATTCTCTGGAACACAGCAGAATGTAGGGCCTGTGTCCCTCAGTGGCCCCATGTGACTTCATAGGAAACTGGAGAGCAGCCAGGTGCCGTCAGGTGGGGGAAACTGCTGATTTTATCATGTTCAATGCCAGTTTCCAGTGAGTGTGGAACCCTTCTAAATGAGTGTGGTGGCTTCAGGCAGCTGCAGTCACAACAGGTGACTCAATTCGGAAAACTCCTCTTTATAGGTGGACCTTCAAATACTAAGCAATTGCATTCTTCAACTTAAGCTGATTTAGATCTCCAGGGCTTGGTGCTAAGCCAACTCTCTTGGATGACAAAGTTTTGATTCTGTAAGGATTTGTGGGCACCCGCAATGTTTCAGGTGCTAAGCTCTGTCCAGGGGAAAATTATGTCTCTTGGAACCAGCTGCTGTTTGACCATTCCTGACACTTGGGCTAGGTCTAGTTCCATTAAACATTAAAGGGAAGTCATCCAGTGGCGGAGGTGAACCGCTCTGTCTTGACTGGTGGTGGAGCTGTGATCTTCTGAGTATTGAATCTCGGCGGGTCCTTCCTTAGAGTGATTGACTGACATTATCTCGTTGGTTCTTCATGAGACTGCTGTGAGCAAAAGCAGATCTACTTTGATCCTCTTTGTGTAGATGTGGACATGGGACATAGAGAGGCTAATCCACTTGTCCCGGGTCACAGGGTTAATCTGTGCCAACCAGAAAGAAGCCAGGAGCATCTGACAACAGGCTCCATATCCCGGCTCACGGGGCCACTCGTTGCTGTGGGGCTTTGTAAGTGGCCAAAAGCCCCAGGCGGTGTTGCAGGGGACATGCGGCTTAACAGATCCAGTGGTTTCTTACTGGTGTCTACATGTTCCTTTCTCTAACTCTTTGCATAAAAGGATGATGGTCAGTTGTTGGCATTTCTGGGCCTGAGCCTGGGAAGTGTATTCTGTACCAGGCACTGTGGGGCACCAGCCTCGGGTCATACCTATAAGGAAAGTCAAGGCTTAGAAGAGGAAGGAAACCAGGATTGAAAAAACAAAAATCACGGATTGATCCGGAGCTGAGCTGTCCAGGGCTGGAGCAAGAGCCCTGACACAGGACCAAGGTCACGAGGGTGCTCTTTCGGCTCCTGTTCAGGGCAGCGTGGCCGGGCGGCGGGGGTAAGGAGGGGCAGAGGTCTGGCTCCGGAGGACACTAACACCTTTGTTCTCACCCAGGGTTTCTAGGAGTGGTGAGCCATGCTCTGCAGTGCTTCTCTTGGCAGAAGAATGCGCCAGCCATCTGGGCTGCAAAAATGCCAGGAGGCACCTGCCCGGTCCTGAATGGCCTCCGCGTCTTCAGTCTGCTCTGGATCATTTCGGGACACACCAGCCAGATGACGGCGTGGCTGTCTCTGGGTGCGAAAAGCCTGCAGTTTGGAAGCACACGGGGAACTCGGAATCCCTGGGGTGGAACAGCCATGTGAGGGTCTGGGGTGGGAGGCTGGTGTCCTCCCTGCCTGCAGCCTCCTTTCTGCTCTCAAGGCAGCCAGGACCTCCCATGAGTGGGTTTCCCATGCCAGTGTGCAAGGGGCGACTTCAGCTCCTCCTAGGATGAATCAGGCAGCTGCTGTCAGGGGAACAAGGGAGCCTTGAGTGCCGTATTTTCACCACCCGATGAGCTGCTCAGTGAAGCCATAAGCTAGCAGGAACAGGCAAGCGTGAATAAACCCGGTGTGCTGATATGGACTCCCTGTCTCCCGGCTTTCTCCCTGGTGCTTGGGCCAAAGGCTCCCTGTAAACAGTGGAGCTGGCTGCTGTTACACAAACAGTCATGATTTTTTCTCTTACAGATAATGTGCTTGAATGGAAAACCAAGGTGCTTAAAAACCCGCTGTACCTGTGCTCTCGAAGTGGCCCCTTCTATCTCGGGGTTGACACATTTTTCCTGATCAGGTAATGAGGTCAGAGTTGGGCACCTGCTGCTGTCTGCTCTGGGATCTGTGTGCTTGTCTGTGCTGCCCTTGTCTGCGAGCAAAGCCCAAGAGCCCACATCCACCCACCGGGGGCCTTGGCTTCTGTCCCTTTTCACACAGTATGATTTTCACAGGCCACTCTTATCTGTGTCTCCATTTAATAAATGAGTTAGACTGGCTCACACAACGGAGCTTTCACTAGTCAGTCTTGTTTCTCAAATTCTACTTCACAGACAAGGGTAGACCTGGAAAGAAAGTTCCAATTCTCACTACAGTGAAAGTGAGAATTTAAGAAAACAATGTGACATTTCACAATGCTCTGTTTGTTTAATTAGCTACTAAGAGCTAACATTTATTAATTATTCGTTAGATGTCAGTCTGTCTAGGAGGTACTTTTCATTTAATCCCTGCAATACCCCTGTATCAGAAGGCGCCATGTTGAAGTTCCCTTCTTTTCTTTTTGGCTGAAATTCACATAGCATAAAAGTGCCCCCAGAAGTGTACATGACCCAGTGGCATTTAGTACATTCACGGTGACGCACAATCATGTCTGACTCGTTCCTGAACACCTTCATCGCCCCCAAATGAAGCTCAATGCCCACCAAGCATCCTCCCCCAGCCCTGTCCCCTCCCCTCAGGGTTCCTGGAAGCCACAGCTTCCTTCTGGCCTCTTTGATGGTGGAAATGTATGACATGCAGCCACATCCAGGCAGTGTGGGCTAGCCCCCACAGTGTCAGCCACTGTACTGTCCTGTTCACCTCTGTGGGGCAAAATCCCCCTTCCTTCAGAGAGAGTAAGAGAGAGAGAGAGAGAGAGAGAGCATGCAGATGGGACACACTCAGCTGTCCAGCTGCCCCTACCTGAACACTTTTGCTTGTGTGCTAGGCGTCACTCTAACCAATGGGGAGATCAAAGGAGGAACTCCTGGGGTGCTTCCTTCAGTGTGAACACACATGCTGAGGTCAGGCTACTAAACAAGAACAGTCAGATAAAATATTGGGAAGGAAACAGGACAGCATGAAGAAGCCAGCCATGGGGAATCTGGGAGAAGAAAGATTTCAGGCAGAGGAATCAACTAGAGCAACCACTGCCAAGTCAAGTCAGGGAACCTCGTGTGAGGCTGAGAAGGGACGCTGAGTGCTGGTGACAGCGAGGGAGGGAGGGGAACAGAAAGACAGGGCAGGAGCAGTGGCGTCCTGGAGGCATGGGTGGTAGCTTGGAAAGTAGTATGATGTTACTTACTTTCAAAACTTTTGCTCTGGCCCCTGGGTGACTAACAGACTAAGAAGGACAGAAATGAGTGGTTGGGATGTGAAATATGAACAAAAAGAGAAGAACTGGGAACATTGCTAGGTTGTGGTTCCAGTTATCAAAGCAGATGGTGAAAGCATTTATTGTGATGGGAAAGAGTCAAAGAGAAGCAGAGTTAGAGGGAAAGTCCAGCTTTCGTTTCGGACATTAAGATGTTGACATCAAGCTGTCAGGTGACCAGGCAGCTACCGAAGCTTAAAGATCACAGGGCAAGTCAAGGTTGGAAGGTGAATGTTGAAGTCCTTGGCAGACGGGAAGCAGTGTTTGATCTGATTACTCCAGCAGGGATGGCGGATTCAGGGTGAACACTAGGATTTCTGCTCTTCCAACGTTTAGAAACTGGGGAGGAAGGGAGGAGCTGGAGGAGTCTGAAATTGAGTCACCATCCATTGGTGGGCACAAGGAAGACCCCATGTGAACCAGGAAGCCGAGAGAAGCAAGCCGCTGGGGGCATGGGATGGGTGTGGCCCATGGGCCCGATGCTGGGGAGCTGAACACCCACAGAAGCAGTCCATAGATTTCTCAGCTGGAGGCCTCTGGTGAAGGAGGGGGGACAATGGGAGATGCAGACACTGACCTGTGTGTAAGAGAAGGAGAGCAGAGCTGCACAGCCTATAGGGCACAGCAGTCGGTGAAAGGGAAGACAGCCAAGGCACAGCTGTGGCCTGTTGGGAATGGTGGAGGAGCAAGGGGTAAGCTGATGGATGTTGTTGATGGCCAACAGTGCCAGCAGCGGCAACTGAGCCACGTTTGCACAAAGGCTCCCATTCAGCAGTCTATGAGGTCATGCCATTCACAGCCCTGAGCTTAGGAAAGAACTGGTCCCAGGCAGGCAGGCAGGAAGCAGGGATTTACTAATCCCCCTTGGTATCCTGCGGATCTCCCCTCCCTGAAACCCAGTGTCCCTCTCCTCCTCCAGTCCTCACAGCTAGGCCTTCTCTGTTCCCTTGTTTAAGATGGACCTAGGCAGCAGTCTCTACTTCATCTGTCCTGACCTGGTTCTTTTCTCCTTGACAAACATACTGTAAAACCACCTTCAATGACCTGGTTGCTAGTGTGTCTGTCAATGATGGAATGTGAGGCAGGGATGCTTTCTGTCACCAGGCCCTAGAGCCGTGCTGGCTGTTGATGGGAGAGGTTTGTTTCATCTCAAGGCTGTGCTGTGAGAGTGTCTTGAGCATTGCCACAAAAGAGCAGGGGTTGAGGTGGGGGGCGGTGCAGAGATCTGCCCATGAGAACAGCAGGGGGTGAACCAGGTGACAACAGAGCAGCTTAGACAGGTGGGGGACAGAGTGCACAGTTGGCAGACAGACCAGCAGTGCTCCTGGCACCACTGGGTATCTAGTCAGGCAGGTGGAACAAAGAAGCAGGGACCTGCGGTGGCCTCTGGAGGGTGAAGGAGTCTGCCCCATGGGTGAAAACCACACTTTTTATCACTGAATCACTGGTCTTCATGCACTAAAGCCAAGGTTCTCTGATTCTCTTTAAGGACTAGTAACTGCCTGGAACCCATTTCTACTTCTCATTTGACATCACCCTTTCCTATTGCATAATGTCCTCTGTGTGTGTGTTCAAGGCCTCTGGGTGGCAGCCCTTGGTATCCATTCTTATTCATAGTCCATCTTCCTGTCAGTTTTTCTGGGTGCTTTGTCTTCATGAACTTGAAGGTTGGGAAGTGCACACAGAGACCCCGGCTGCTTTAGTAACTGTGCTGGGACAGGGGCTTCCAGTCTCATTGCAAAGAAAAGCTCACCCCAATCCATCCTTTCCTGCAATTAAGAGGAGGATGAAATCAGAACTGGCAACTTTCTTCCACTTTTTGGAGCATCGTTGAGATGTCTGCATAAATATTGTTCAGGTAAAGCCACAGTGTCAGTATCCAGTTTGAGTCTTGGCTGCTCCACTTCCAGTCCAGCTCCCTGGGTGTGGGGGTGGGGTGGGGGGGCAACCGAGGACAGCCTAGGTGCCTGGCCCATGCACCCTCATGGGAGACCTGAAGAAGTTCCTGGATTCTGGCTTCGGACCCACCCCTTCCCCGCTCTAACCATTAGAGCCATTTGGGGAGTGAACCAGTAGATGGATTATCTACCTCTCTATGCCCTCCCTTACCCCCTATAACTCTACCTTTCAAACAAATTTAAAAATTTTTTTAAAGATTTATTATTTGAAAGGCATGTTTAAAGAGAGCAAGATCTTTCAACAGCTAGTTTACTCCCCGTAATGGCTAGTTACAACATTTGGACTGATCCTAAGCCAGGAGTCAGGAACTTCTTTTGGGTCTTCCATGTGGGTGCAGGAGCCCTAAGACTTGAGCCATCCTCTGCTGTGTTCCAGGCACATTAGCAGAGAGCTGTATGTGAAGTAGAGTAGCTGGGTCTCGAACTGGTGCCCATATGGGATGCTGGTGCTGCGTGTGGAAGATGCCACTGCACCAGCTCTAAATAAAATCTTTTTTTTTTTAAATAAAATCTAACAGGCAGAGAATAAAGGTATTCACCAATATTCTGGGATCTCTTCCAACTCTCTTCTAACAAACACTTTTTTTTTTTATTACGTTGCATTATGTGACACAGCAAACACTTTTTTACAATAGGAAATGCATATGCTCCTTGGGGAAACACCCACAGCATCACTGATACAAATGTCAAAAGGTTGGGAAACTTATAGACCTGCTTGCTGTCAAGCTCTAACTCAAAGGCATGACCTCAGTGTCGAAGTTCAACATCTGGCTAATGAATATCAACGGGATATGCTGGTGAAGAATTCCATCTGTGACTGTGAGAACCCCCTCCCCCTTCCTTTTTTTTTCTTTTAAATTTATTTGTTTTTATTGGAAAGTCAAATTTACAGAAAGGAGAGACAGTGAGAAGGATCTTCCATCCACTGGTTCACTCCCCAAGTGGCTGTATGGCTGCAGCTGAGTTGGTCCAATCTGAAGCCAGGAGCTTCTTTCAAGACTTTGGGCAATCCTCTACTGCTTTCCCAGGCCACAAGCAAGGGAGTGGATGGAAAGTGGAGCAGCCAAGACATGAACCAGCATCCATATGGGATCCCAGCGTTTGCAAGGCAAGGATTTAGCCACTGAACCATCGTGCCAGGCCCAGGAAACCTCCTCAACAACCTCTGGGTACCACTTTCTCTGCTAGGAAAGCAGCAACAATAAGATCTCTCATTCATTCAACAAACATTTGTTGCTAAGTAGTTTATCATAGATGAAGAAAGGTAAGTACTTTAAAAAATAGGTGCTAGAGAAATGGAAGGCTTTAACATAATTGGGGAAGACCACATGGGGTTCATTAGCATTGTTGGTCAGCTATTTCTGGCTCTCTGTCCTCCAGGCACTTGGCGACATTCCACTCTCCTGGCCCCCTGTGGCTGGGTGGTTGACATTCCTGGTGCTAACCAACCTGAGGTGCCTGGTAGTGCCATTATGACAAGGCTTTTAAAACTCTCAAGCGGAAAGCTTTCAACAGGCCCCTGCAGAACTCTCTTGTCTGTCACGATCACTGGTGAACTCTCAGACCATGGTTCCTCCATCGGCCGGTCTCGGTGAGGAAGATGCTGAGCCCGGCTGGCCGGTGGGGGCACACAGCACAAGCAGGAACAAACTACTGCCTTAAGACTTGCAGGTGCTTTGCTGGTAACTTATTCTGTCTTGATCGAGACAACCAAATTGATGAGCCATTCCTGTGCTCTTTCTTTTTCTTAGTGGTTGGTTAAGCGCAAGGTCATTTCAAAAGATGCATGAGAATGAAGGAATAACACCCAAGGTTATATGCAGATACCTGCTCAATCGCCTTCTAAGGTAGGTTTATTTAAATATATAACCCCTCAATTCATGATCGCAATGTAATAATTCACTTGTTCAGTGTTTAGCCCTATTTTGAAAGAACTTTAAGAGAAAAAAATTGATAAAAATAGTTTTTCCTTAAATTCAGTAAACTTTTGCTGCTTTAAGATGATTACATTTCTTTTATGACAGACAGCATGAAAACTGCTGTCTTCCACTGGCAGGAATATCTTTATTACTCAGCTAATGAGTCATAGATCATATTAAATACAGTGTCAGATTTCCATGGCTTGTATATTTGACAGGAGTTCTGTGCTAGAAAATGAGTGGCAACAGGCTCCTGTAAGTCCATTTTCTCTGCTAGGAAAGCAGCAACAATAAGATCTCTCATTCAACCAGAGGAACTGGTTGAAGCTGTCAGGAGTGGGGAGGGCGGTCTCCTTCCGGAACGCGAGGCTGGGTGAAGCAGAAATAAAGGCAGTGTCTGAGCAGAGTACCGTACCACGCAGGCAGAGCAGCGGTGACAACACGACAGTCAGTGGTCAGGAGGAAAGGAAACTTGCACCCATGTAGCTCCGCTGGTAAATGGCGCTCAGCACTCCTCGTTACCCCACGTGGTCACAAAGTGGGAAGGAGAAGTGTGGAAACAACCTTTGGGGTTAAAGAAAATGGACCAGGGGAGAGTGGATTCTCTTGGGCCTCTGTTGAGCTTGCGCACTGGGTCTTTCACTAATCAGCTGGGGGACTCCTGGTGTCCCCACATTCTGGGCTTGAGCCCCCTCATCTCTGTAACAAAGGATAGAGTGTGCTTTCCTTGTAGGACTGCGGCTGTGTAGGGGACTTAGAAGAATGCATGACTTTGGCTCTCAGTGAAGTCTGAAAGGCAGAGGAACTGAAAGACAAACAGTCCCCAGATATTGCTATCAGCCAGGGCTGGGCCAGGCTGAAACCGGCAGCTGGGGAACCCCACCCAGGTCCCCATGTGGGTGGCAATGACTCAGCACTCAGTCGCCATCTGCTGCTTGCCAGGGTGGAATGACTGCAAGCCGACGCTCGGAGGTGGGATGTGCTCAGAGAGAGACTGCCCCTCCGCCCAATGCTTGCCCCTCTGCTTTTAAAAGTAGAAAAGTGTCAGCATTTTAACAAACCAGCATGTAGTTAAAGGCTCATGAACAGAGGCAGACAATGAATAGTAAATACGGGGCTCTTGGATGCTGCGTCTGATACATACCTAATGGGTCAGTGATGCTAAGCACCTTAAGGTGATAGCTTGGAGAGAAAAGCGAGGTGGGACTTCCCCCTGGAAGGGCAGTTAGGACACTGAAGGAAGGAAAAGAATATTCCATGAAAAGCCAACACTGTGAGGGAAAAAATGACCCAATTGGGGGTGGGGACCAGAACTCAAGGTCCTGATGGGGAACATGGCTATGTTTGAAGATCCCCCCCCCCCCAAAGACCACAAGTGTGCGATGGTGTGCGTGGAGTGAGAGGCAGTGAGGCCGCCTAGGCTGTGGGCAGGTTCACCTTTACATAGTCACTGTGGCTCAGGAAAGAAAAGACACTGAGTGTGTGGGGAGTGAAGTCGGGAGGCCGCTGGGAGCTGCTGCAAGTTCTAGGAAAATCCCAAAGGCCAACTTGCAGGGGTAAATAGAGAGAGGGGTCTAAGCAGAATAATAGCAGGTGTCACAGTGGCCTACAGAACTCACATGACAAGAATCCCTTCCGGGCTCTCTCCTAAGGACAGCATCTGGGTTCAGGCAGAAATGTCCCCTGGATTGATAAGCATTTACCCTGCCCTGGACAGGTGGTACCATCAGTCGAACTATTCGCACCTGGCTTTTACACTGAATGATTCAACTGGGCCTCTTCTCTATTAGCAGAGAACGACCTACCTTACAGATACTCGAAGCTGACACAGCACTGCATGGGGCCCCCCCGTACCTGAAACGTCACCGTTAGTAGGCATAGAAGGATTTTGCAGGTTTTGTGGCTCTCTTAAACATTAAGACAATATACTATCTGTAGGTGGGAAAATGAAATTGAAAAAGGTCTGTGTAAATTTTTTAAAAATACTTATTTTTATTGGAAACACATATATACAGAGAGAAGAGACAGAGAGAAAGAGCTTCCATCTGCTGGTTCTTTCTCTAAGTAGCCACAATGGCCAGAACTGAGCCGATCCAAAGCCAGGAGCCAGGAGCCTCCTCTAGGTCTCCCACATGGGTGCAGGGTCCCAAGGCTTTGGGCCGTCTTCGACTGCTTTCTCAGGCCACAAGCAGGGAGCTGGATGGGAAGTGGAGCAGCCGGGATTAGAACCAGCATCCTAGGGGATCCTAGCACTTGAAAGGGGAGGAAAGGCCAACTGAGCCATTGCACCAGGCCCAGTTGTACACTTTTTGGAGTCTATGTGTGGTTATTCCACCATGTGATTAACCACGGCCCTCTTGAAGGGCCCAGCACACGCATTTCTGTGTATTTATGGCGTAGATTCTTGAAAGTGATGCCGTGATCTGAGCATCTAGTTTGGGTGGACTTTTCCCAGATTCGGATGCGAGTGCCAGCTTTCACACCTCCCCAGCTCAGGGCTACAATCCCACTTCTTGCTCTTGAACAGCCCATTCGGACAGGATGTAGCATGTACATTTCCAGGCGACTTGGGCTGTTCTGAGCTGTGCTCCCATTGGTCTCTTTGGCAGGAATCATGAACTCCTGTGACAAAAGAGGCAAGAGGGGGAAATGCTGCGATCTGCCGGCTGTGAAAAACAGAGGCCAATCTAGAATCTGTGTTTCTTGTTCATCGCCCTATAGCCTTACTCCTCTGGGCATGACTTCACAGCAGTGTTGGCCTGGCGCCACCAGGGCCCCCTGGCTCAAAGCTTGTATTTTAACAAGCACCCTGGGGAGTGGGTGCTGCTGCTTGTTGGGGCAAGGACCAAGGGAAGGAGAGGTGACAGATGGTGGAGGGAACGCTGAGCCAGAGAGCTGCGGGAGCAGCTGCCAGCCTTCAAGGCCTCATGCCAGCATGGCAGGCCCCCATGTGGCTGAGGCCTGAGCAGACAGGCAGGCGAGCTCCCTCGCATCTTGACACAGCCACCTCCTTTGTATCTGACACTGGACAGCAGTGCTATTCCTGCTCTTCAGATACCCACCAGCACTGTCTAGGGAGGATGCTTAAAGTATAATTATTTGGGGCCCCGCACGATAGCCTAGCAGCTAAAGTCCTCACCTTGAATGCGTCAGGATCCCACTGGGTGCCAGTTCTAATCCCGGCAGCCCTGCTTCCCAGTCAGCTCCCTGCTTGTGGCCTGGGAAAGCAGTTGAGGATGGTCCCTGCTTTGGGACCCTGCACCCATGTGGGAGACCCAGAAGAGTCTCTGGGCTCCCGGCTTTGGATCAGCTCAGCCTTAACCATTGTGGCCGCTTCGGAGTAACTAAGCAGATGGAAGATCTTCCTCATTGTCTCTCCTCCTCTCCGTATAGCTGTGTTTCCAATAAAAATAAATAAAATCTCTCCTCCAGGAGCATGGGAATGGGAGCTGCCTCGCCAGCTCCCAGAGAGGCTGGCTTCAGGGTTTGCAACTATCTCGAAGGCTTCTAACACCAGCTGCCCCACCGTGCTCCAGGCAGCAGGGGAGCACTTCGATGGTGCTCCCACATGAAGGTGGAGGAGGTGAAAATGCCATCACCCAGAGATGCTGCGGCACAATGCAGCCTCGCCGTGACCATGAGGCTTTTGGCATAAACAACCTGTGCAGATACATTCAGTTACACAAATACATGTGACTGCTTACATGGAATTTTGGATACAGCAACATACAGTATGGATTTGTAGCATAGCAACAGCAGGTCATACCCTGTAGGTTTGCGTCAGGACTCTGTGACATCCAGACAAAGGTGAAATTGCCTCATGATGCATTATTAAATATCCTTGCTGTCCAATGGGGGCACAGTTGGACATGACATGCTCAACAGACCGCAGCATTTTTGTATCAGCAGCATCCGAGGATGAGGGTAGTAAATGACCTTGACCACACAAATGCACACCAGCTGGCAGAGTGGGCGGGGAAGTGCTGCCCCATGCCAACCCTCTCAGAGCATCTTGGCACCTCCCAGCCTGCGTCCACCGATGGGCCAGTGGGCCCCATGGCAGACAGGTTCCCCTCTCGGGTTCTCTCCTGCCAGGCTGCAGCCTCTTCATATCTACTCCGTGTGCCTGTTGGTTGCACTGTTCGCTCTTGTACCCTGGGGACCTGTCTGGGAAGTGCCCAAATTCCACTGGGATAACTGCCGGCAAGCTTGGTGGACAAACCTGCTGTTGCTAAACAACTTCCTGTCGGTGCAGACCGCGGTGAGTCCTACGCTGTTGCCTTTGGAGAGGCAGGTGGGTACAAATAGGGTGTCTCCCTCTGGGTGAACTTTCCAAGGTCCAAGCTGAGTGTGATCCCCTTTCTTCTGGCATATTCTCAGGGGGAACAGTGATATGGAAGGAAGGTGGTTGCGGGTGGGTGGCCCCAAGTCATGCAGAGGAGCAGAGCAGGGACAGTGAGGGGCTGACCATCGATGGGCAGGTCCCCAGGCAGTCCCTGTGTCAGTCCTCGTCACTCCGTGCGAAAGGACACCCTGTTTACCTGCACTTAGGGAGTTGATTCAGGATGGAACACTGCCTCACAAACTCATTGTTAAGGATTCCACTCAATGTCAAGTTAGATCTGACAGAGTTGGTTCAGTACTACAATTTCTTTCTAGTGAACCTGTCACAGAAGTCAGACAAATTGCTACGATGAAAGCATGGCATGATTCTTCATGGGTCCTGAAAATGAGGCTGGAAAGAGAATGCTAAGGAGTAGCAGGGTCCCAATTCTTGCACATAACGGTTTAATGACCAGGGGCCGGCTTCCGTTCACCAACGGCCAGCAGCTTGCCCAGGGCGTGCATCACCCACTACCTGCTTGTGAGGGCATGCCTGAGAGAGGGACCCCAGGGAAGAGATGGGGCTGTTTTCTAGGTGCAGACTATGTGGGGCCACTTGAGGGGACTGTTGGCAAGGATGTAAGCCCGCAGTCTCTCTGAATAAACCCCATCTTAGATCCTTGTGTCAGTGGGGCCAGGGTCCCGAGCCTTGGGGACTCTCCCGAGCTCCACCCCCCGTGAGAGCTACTCTTGAATTGCCGACAAAGCTGTCCCTTCTATTGTGTCAGTCTTCCCGGGACCCCTGGGAATTCCCTCACTTTGACGTTAAAAAACCAGGTCAACTGCCTTATTTCACACAAGCATGGACAAGCTGAGGGACCATGTGGTTCTACCTGACAAGCGCATGTCAATCATCTTCAGCAGGGGTGGGGGATGCCTGGCCATGGCCTTGGAAATCATTTTGCTAGGCCCTACCGAGACAGGGCTTGGAAACTCAATCAACAGCAGATCAAGTTCTGAGAGCTGTGCAGGGTTTGCTAACAATGTCACACACACCCAGATGCCCTTGGCAGAGAAAGGGCTCCCAGCAAAGGCCTTGGCTTCGAACAGATCCTTCCCTTCACTTGCACTTGGCAGTGGGAACAAGCAAGAAGACAACAGAGACCCCAGTGCCCACCTCCCAGGACAGTAGCCACGGCTGACATTCCTGTGGCATGAACGGGCTCAGTGCCCATGAGTGTCCCAGGTGACAGGCTGCTACTGTGCAGTGGGATTTCCATTCTGTAAATGGCAATAATAATACTGCCTGCCTGCCAGGCTGGGTCCATCACTGAGGAGTCCAGGGGTGTGAATGTCTCTCTCCGAGGGAGTACCCCTCCCTTCCCCCTCCCTTCCCCCTCCCTTCCCCCTCCCTTCCCCCTCCCTTCCCCCTACACCAGCTTCCCTCCCAGACCAGGCGGTGTCCCTGGGCAGGAGACAGGTGCAGAAGGCTAAGAAGGCACCTTCGCTCCTCCCCCTGCAGTGCGGTGGCTGGACATGGTACCTGGCCACGGACTTCCAGTTTCACCTCGTGACGCCAGCCATCATCTTCCTCCATGGAAAGTGAGTATTGGGGCCACATGGCTTTCTCCCTGGGAGGCCTTTTGGGAAACTCAGAGAAGCTGCTCCAACCCCATGAATGTTGGCTTTCTAAGCTTTAGGAATCCATTTTTTTTTTTCCAAAAAAGTAGACTGGACCCCTTCTTCCGCGTCCTCTTCCCCTCGGGCCTACACCAGCTGGTGATTCTGCAGCACGGTCATCAGTGTGCTGGTGACATGTGCTGTGCTGCATTTTCCAACAATTCCTACGCACATTTCCACGTACCGCGTGACCGGGAGACCTGTCCATTTCAGGATTCACACGCCATCTTGTGTCTATGTCAACTTCTCAGGATTAAGCACACTACCTCTTGTCTTGGTTATTTCCTCGGGGACAGCTAGTAGACGGGCGGGGAGGCCTCTGTGGCGCTGCCCTGGACCACCACGCCTGCGGGCCATAGCGGCACCTTAGCAGTGTGTCCATGAGGCCGCTTGCCCACACTGCCTCTACGTCACCTGCATTTCTGTTGGTGACAGAGAAGCCAGTTTAAGGCCTCCATAATGCAGGGGACACTTGAAATTTGTGGATCATATATTGTCTATTTTTAAAGACTTAGGATTCTTTTTGTTGTTAAAAAAAAATAGGTTTTCACAATCTGTCCTTTGGGCACCCACCTCCTCCAGCTTTTTAAGCACAGCTGCCCACAGACCCATGGCCTCCTTTGGACAGTCTGTGGTAACCCACTTCACTACAAGAAGAACGCGCAGCACTAAGTCGGAATGAACTTCTACTTCCAGGACAAGCTACAAGTTGCATGCCCCTTCTCCCACTGTTGAATACTTGGGCCATTTCTGATTTTAAGCTTCTATAAATCATTCTGGTTTGGTCACCATTTTCACGGGGGAACCATGGACCTCCGGTAACTGTAGCATGCGCATCCTTAGGAGGATTACTGGGTCAGAGGGCATGAATGTCTTTGGGGTTTTGGGATTGGAGTGGTTTCTCTGTATCACTGGAGGCTCCTTGGCCCCAACCTTCCCAACACTGAGCAGTGCCTGGCCTGGGCCTGAGCCTGCTAATCTCTCCTGTATTTTAGGGACCTTCCTGGTCTTACACGTGTACAACACTCATGTGTGGAGAAATTAGATAGGAGTCAGTGGGAAAAGGATTCCTCCTTTGATTACTTAGGACATCTGGGAGATGCATTCCACAAGGCTCTGCAGAACATTCCAGAAGAAGGCAGCCATTATCCTCATGCTGCCTTTCCCTCCTTCCCTGTTCCATTGCCCTCGTGCCTCTTCCCATGGGAGTCACCTGCATGGTACCGCTGACCCAGGCTCGGCTTCCAGGCGTGTGTGCATGGCAGACCCCTGGCCTCGCCCTCTGAGCCAGCACCTTTTCCTCCTGTGCCTGTGTCTGCCCTGTGTCCCACCCTCTCTCAGACATGTCCTAAGCTGCCATTTCGGAAGTGCTGAGTCTGCTTTGGAGCTGCACAGTCAACTTTGGGAGGTAGCACCAGGGATGCTGTTGGGGTCGCACAGCTAGTAAATGGGCAGCTAGCCCAGCCTCAGGGACACCGCCTGCGGAAGCAGAGCCAGCAAGAAGCTCCTCCACGGCCACAGGTCACACGTGTAGGCAAGAGGACTCCTGCATCGAGTTGCTGCCCGCGTTCTCTCTTCTTCGCAGGAGTAGACGTGCCCTCGTCCTCCTCGGCACCGTGCTGTTCTTAGCATCTTTCGCAGCCAGTGGCCTGCTCACCTTGGCTCATAAACTCCCAGTGGCGTCGCCATCGGCCGCCAGGTACTGCAATTCCCCCATCCATCTCTCTGTCTCTCTCTCTCTCTCTTTCTCTCCCCCAGGCCTCTCAATCTCTTGGGGGCCAAGCCCTCCAAGGAGGGTCCGCAGTGTGTGTTGTGCTGGGACCGGTTAGGACACGGTCCTTGTTGGCTTCTGACTGTCACACTGCACTTGCAGGGGTTCCAGGGAAGTCAAACACTGCCCAGGGAAACGTTTCTCGAGGAAAGGCGCGCCCTCGCGTGGCTGACCTGCGTTCTGCAGCTCGGGGGAGTGTGACTTGAAGCTACGGTCTCGCCCACTAGGCTGCTCTGCCTCCCTGTCGATGCATGGGTGACCCTTCCTTATTTTACAAGGAAAATTTGACCCCTAAGTGCTCAGTATGTATTTGTGAGTGGATGGACGTATAACCAAGAGAATGCTTGAATAAATACAGGAGAACACGGATCCCTTCCCATCTACTTCTGTGCAGAGCAGGTGGACTTCTGGCAGGCCCGGTGGCTCGTAAGGCTGGGTGCACGCCAGAGTACCCTGGGAGCGCCCTATCCACAAATGCATCCATCCAACTTCAACAAGTGCTATTGGAGCACAATAATGTGCAGTGTGAAGAACCACCCACTGTCTTTCTTTCTTTCTGACAATCTTTTTTTTTTTTTAAAGAAAAAACTTATTTTTATTACAAAGTCATATATACAGAGAGGAGGAGAGAGAGAGAGGAAGATCCTCCGTCCGATGATTCACTCCCCAAGTGAGCGCAACTGCCAGTGCTGTGCTGATCTGGAGCCAGGAGCTAGGAATCTCCTCCAGGTCTCCCACACGGGTGCAGGGTCCCAAAGCATTGAGCTGTCCTCGACTGCTTTCCCAGGCCACAAGCAGGGAGCTGGACGGGAAGTGGAGCCGCCAGGATTAGAACTGGCGCTCATATGGGATCCTGGTGCATTCTTGGCCAGGACCTTAGCCGCTAGGCCATGGCGCCGGGCCCTTGACTATCTTTACATAGTTGATTAGGGCATAAAAGGTTCCATGGTCACACCTAGCTCAGCCCATCAACACCCCAACTCTTGAGCTAACCAGTGGGCCTACTATTTCCACAGGGTTTGGCCCACACATCCCCCACAGAATCTACCCCCAGAAATGGTTCTCTCGTGTGCTGGGTGGTGTCTTGGCCCTGCCTAATGTGACCTGCCCCCTGATCAAACATTCTGTCAGGTTCTAGGGTCTGGCCCTGCTCGACTAGCCCCCTGCTTTAGCTATCGTATGGACGGTGTGTGGTGCTCAGCACTGTTCGGTAATCACAAGTTCCACACAGGAATCTAAAGTAGGCTGGAATATCAGTCTGACCCATAAAAATCATCTGATCTCTCTCCTCCAAACCACCAGGTCTCAATACCCTCACTTACATTCAGGGAAAAGTTACTCTGTCATTGGGAGTCCTTCAGGATTGATTCACAACCCACAAGCACAGTGCACTCAACATGGAGGTGCCTAGACAGCAGTTCCATACCCCTGAGACCCCGGAGCTCGCCACTGGGCGGCCAGCAGGTGGAGCCTGGCGCCAAATGGCGCACTGACTGCATGCTGGCGATGGCTGGAGCCAGGGACTCAAGCATGGAGTCCAACCTGGCCTGGAAGTTCTCCCACCCAGACCCCAAGGTCTCACCACCCACTGTCTTGCAGAGCTTTCCCCATTGTGGCAGCCCTCGTGTGGGCAGTGGGGGCTTTGGAGAATGTTCTAGCTTGAGTGGAGAACCGAGAAACATTGAGAGCAGGGTTTCAATCTAAGTTCCGTGTCGGAAACCTAGGACAGCGTTCTGAATGCTAGCCGCAGGCCCCAACCAGCAGAGATTCCATTTCTGGGGCCTGGGCACAGCTGGCTACCTTCTGTGGAGGACATCTGGGGGCCTATTAGGCGCCCATCGCTGGGTGTATGCTACAGGTTCCTAGGCAGCAGAGTGGGATGGACAGCACAGACTTTGAGCCTGGTTCAAAGGACAGCACAGGTTCCAAGGTGATGTCACGGGTGGCATTCCACAGTGCCCTCTGGCATCCTCATCAGGGCCTAGCCTGCTCAGAAGTTCTCTTTCAAGACAGTCTCTGGCCTGAGAGCCTTGGGTTCAACCTTGGGGACCGGAAGTTTAGAGCTTTCTGGATGTATCAGCCAGCAGCAAGAGCCGCAGGTGTGTGTGTGATGGTGAGCAAAGGGATGATGTTTTGAGAAGTACGTCATCAGGCTATTTCCCAGTGCAGACATTACAGAGTATTTATGCAAAGTAAGACGGATACAACCTCCATGCAACATCGTTTTATGGCTTACCATTACAGTGAGGGCACTTCAAGAGAAAGTAAAAAGAAATTCTTATTTTTAAATTTGAAATCCATGCATTCATTTTTTGAAAGCATGCATTTTAACATGAAGTGTTTGAAGAGCCTTCCTGTGCAGTCTGTTGTTGACCAGATGCCAGTATGTGACATTTGATTGTATTGAAAATGAATATAGGCATTATATTTTTTTTAGATGGGAAAGGGACAGTGGCATCTAGAATTTGAACAAGCCAGCTGTAGCCAAGATAGAAGCATGAGGTCACTGTACGTCATTACAGAGGGAAAGAACAGATGTGCCCTAAAGCCACATCTGGATTAGCCATTGCTCCAACAGACACCGGGTTTCTAGTCCCCGTGCCCAGAACAAAGGGAACCTCCAAGTTTTCTTCTTGTGTTTTTCAGTGACACTGTATCGGCGCTGTACTTCTCAGAGTATTACACCAAGCCCTACTGCCGCATGGGGCCATTCCTCGTGGGTCTCTTTCTGGGCATTTTCATGCACCAAAATCATGGTTCAAACCTTCTCCAGACCAAGGTATGGTTTCCCAGGCTTCCTTGGAAAAGCACAGGTTGGCTGGGACAGGGGGACCATCTGGCTGGATGTTTCCAAGCCACGGGCAGGAGGAGGTGGGCTGCTGGGAGCTGTCTTGGGCTGCATGGCTAGGAGTGTCTCTCCGTGACCCGGGAGCGGGGGTCCAGAGCCCAATTCTTTGCTTTCTTAGCACCATGTAAGGCCCAGATTTGGAGCCCAGAGAGGTCCTACCATCAGAGCCTTGCTACAGATCCAGAGAAACTTCGGGTTTGGAAAATCAATGAGCTTGCAATGGCAGGACCCTCTTCTGGAAAAGGAAATTGAGTTGGGTTGCATTGGTAACGCACAGGCTCCATGGTTCTAACAGACAGGACGTTTTGGTCAAATTTCCATCTGGGAATCAAGATAGAGTATACTCCGTGAGGTAGAGGGGCCAAGAGGCTGTTTTGCCTTCCAGTTGGGCCGTGAGCACATGTTGCTTCCTCTGGCTCCTTTCGGACAATCGGTTCTGGAGGTTCTGAGGTTCCCCAGGCAACCTGAGCCCTCAAGCTGGAAAGCTGGGGTCACCAGGAAGCCTCCTTCTCGCTGACCCCTCCTCCTCCCCCTCCATTGAGCCCTGTTGTTTCCTGTTCCAGCTGTCCTCTCTAAACTACTGTTGAATTTCTGCCCATCTCTTGCCTGGGTTTCTTGGCTCATTTTCTTGCCTCCAGGCTTGTGGATCTTAATCCACTGCAAATACTGCCTTGGCCAGGATCCTGACTATGCAAAAGCTTTGGTAGCATCCTCTGAGCCCCCAGATAAATCCTGATCCGGACAGCAAGCTCCTCGAGGTCTCTGAGCCATAGCTCCACCCGTTTCTGCATCTGCCTTGCCACTTCCTGCTTGGCACTTGGCATGGCAGTGGTGACGATCTGCTTATGGTGCCTCGGTGCCTGTGCTGGCCTGGCATCTGTGTGACTTCGCACACTCCCTCCTGTGCCTGGGTCATGCCTCTCCACTTTGCCATTCATCTTATGCTTTTATCTGACTTTCCTGCGTATTCAGACCCCCAGGAAGTCTTCCCTGACTCCTCAGGGTGGGCTCTGTCCCTCCTCTGTGCATTGTCCATTCCTAGATCCTTGTAACATGCCAGTGCGCTTCTCTGCTTCACAAACTGTGACCTCCTCAAGGACAGAACATGTCTTAGTCACCTCTCTGTCCCAGGCTTCTGAGACTCTGACACACTGAAGACTCTCAAGACATGAATGAATGAAAGATAATTTCCTTCTTAATGGAGGAAGAGTCCCCTTGCAGTATTAGAATACAGACACCCCCTGCCCACCACCACCATTTTCTAGCTTTGCCTGTCTCGGCATTGCAGATACTTTGGAGAAAAGTCCCTCATCTTTGGAAAATCTTATAATGAGAGTGGCAGGGATAGAACATAGGATTTAGCTGGTAGAAACAGACATGCAGGGGCTACGTGACTTTTTCCGTAAGTTGGAGTTGCGTTACTTCTCTGGAAATGCACAATTCACGTAAGTGAATTATTATGGAGTGCTGTGAAAAAGATGCTCAGGTTACACAGAGATCCAAGGAGGCAGTGGGTGTGATTACACAGATAGAGCTAAGGAGAAGAGCGAGCATTTGAGAACCTTCTCAAGCATAGAGTAGCACAGAGCTGGAGCTCAAGCCAAATGGACCATGGAAGGGTTGAGTAGGTCAAACTCAATTCTGTAGGAACTAAAAACATCAGGACAGAGCCCAAGCTGGAGGAAGACGGCCGGATAAGAAAGAATACATCTTGGCCAAGAGAGGCAGGCTGGGACAGAAAAGAACACGGTGCCTGGGGCGTAGAGACTACAGGCTGTCCAGGTTGCAGAATTAACAAAGCACGAAGGAATCCCAGCCTGACAAAGTGGAGGGTCCCAGAGATACTCCCCCCTCTTCCTGCAGCCAGAAACCAGGGCAGGGCCCCCAAGCCCCAGCATGGCTCTTAGACAAGGCGATGGTCCAGCTGGGTCAGGTCGCTGCAGACACCAGCTGCACCAGCAGCTGCACCAGCAGACACCAGCTGCAGACAGCTGCCCGAGAAACAGGATGTCAGACAGTCTTGGAGGACAAAGATGGGTCTATCAAGTGAGGTGGTGCAAGATGCAAGATCTTAAACTGCGCCAAGTACTCAGATTTAACTCTTGGGGATATTCTGAAAGCATCTTCGTTCTCCCACTCCTTGTGTCCCTGAATGTGCCTGGTTCCTTGGGTAGAGCCCAGGAAGGGGGGCTATGCAGGCACTCACACTCAGGCTAGGAGCAGAACCAAGGGAAAAGGGGAGAAGCAGGAGGTTAGGAGTGATGCAAGTGGGTGAGGAGCACTGTCTTACTTCCCTTCAGCTTAAAAAAAATTATTTTCATGCTCATTTGAAAACAATCATTTCATGCTCATTTGGAAAGATTTACTGGAAGTTGCAAACATTATAGAGAATCTTGGGTGTTTCTGACTCAGCCCCCCCTACTGGCAACCTGTGGCATAACCACAGCACATTGTCAGCAGGGAACTCGCTGACCTTGGCACAACAGCAGACCCAAGACACCCCAGCTTTATGGGTACTCGTTGACGTGTGACTGTGCATGTGGGTGCACGAGTTCTCAGTAATTCTGTCACACGTGCACCCAGAGAAAGCATTGAATTCTGTCCCCTCCCCCAAACTCCCTCCATGGTGACACACACCTCACCCTTCCCCAGCACCCCAATCCCTGGTTGCTGCTAAAATGAGTCTTTAATTCAGTGCAGTGTGTGCAGTGACTGGGGTTCCCAAACAGCCACCTGCAGTGACATCACTAACAGTGAAGAAGGAAGGCTGTGTGAAAGGAGTCCCCGGCGGTGACCTGCCTCTCCTCTCCCTGCAGGCGCAGGCCCTGCTGGGCTGGACTTGCTCTCTGCTGACTCTGTTTGTCGTGGTCGCCCTGGCGTATGCACTGGATGACACCCCCGCTGTCCCTTCGGTGGCCACTGCTCTCTACCAGGCCTTCCACCGGACCCTGTGGGCGGCAGCCGTGGCCTGGGTCATTTTTGCCTGCCAAGAAGGCTATGGAGGTAGAAGGGGCTAGAACAGAGCTTTGTTCTCGGGCGTGATCCATTCCTGTCAAGGTGACAAACTCAGAACACCAAGTGTGCGCGGTTGGGCTTCTGTGGCTGGTGTGGCTGGGGAATGCCTGGTGTGACCTCAACAGCAGCCAGTCCCTGGGGACACACCGAGGTGCTGTATTAGACTTGCACTGGTGCAGGAACAAATGCAGGTCTGAAAGAAAAACCTACTTCTTCTCTAGTGAGGCTCATTCAGAAGCCGGAAGAGAACGAGACAGAGTTGTACAGGGAAAGAAATGCCAGGAGCAGCCAGGACCTCCGGTCACGTTCACGGTGGGTCCTGGCGTCCTTAACCAAGGGTATTCACTAGACCAGACACTCTCCCCCGCGTCCCTTCTGAGAAATGGGAAAGTTCTTTTGAGCTGCCCTTCAGCGTGCAGTAGTCAAGCAGATAAAGAATCTATGTGGAAAGAAGAGAATCCTCTCCAGATAAGACTCGTGTCTTCAAGCCATGTGCCATGTCCCTACGCTTCAGTTAGGTACACCTGGGTACAGGGATACATGTCAGCAGATGGCAAGACTGAGGCTGGTAGGAAACTTCCAGAAAAAAAAACCCAACAAAAGCGCTTCTGGTTTCAGACTCCCCAGAGGACCTGGAGCTGTGAAGCCATATATATCCAGGAGGGCCATGATGAGGTCACATTCTGGGACGATAATTTGGATGAGTTCAGACTTAGCCTGTGACCCCACTATCCCCAGCCGAGATGGCTGGAAACAGGGGTGATACAACCCTGGGAAGGTCCCGCAGCTGGCACATGACCCGGGAGCTTGCCCAAGTGCAAAGTCAACAATCTTCATTTCGGAGCACTCCTTTCTCTCTCTCAGAAGTTGATTAAAATTCAGCTCGAGTCTCGTACTTGAGTATAATGCTGAGTGTCTTGTTTTTAACATTTTCATTTTTAAAAGCCTTCCCTTACTGGGGAAAGTGACGATAGAGAGGAAATGGACTGTATTCCTTCTGACCAATGAGCTGCAAGCATGGGAAGCTGCTGTGGATCCTGGGACCTCATTCCTAATGTTCTACCCTACGTGAGCCAGTGGCCCCGAGCATCAGAACACAGACCATCCTGTAAACCCCTGACCAGGCCCAGGCCGCCATGCAGTGTCTTGGTCTGTCAGCAAGAGAGCCTGGCGTGTGTAAGTGGTGAGGGCAGAGGCAGAATGCCAACAAAGCCCTTGGCTTCCGGGGGCTGTCGGCCAGGCTTTCCCATGTGGCTCCTCCACTTCCGGGCTTGCTCTGCTGTCCCTTAGCAGGCAGCTCGGCCCTGGGGCAGGGGCACGTCCTGATCCAGGTTGACCTTGCCTGCGAAGACCTTCATTCCTAACAAGGTCTCACTCAGGCTGCAGACGGATGTAGCTTTGGGAGGTTTCCTAGTCAACCTGTGGCAGTCCTGCTTGGAGAAGGACCGCCGGTTTCAATGAACATAACCAGCCGAGAGTGATCAGTGGCCCTGCTTGAGACACCCGGTTCTAAGAGATACACCGAGTTCCAGAACATGTGCTTCTAAGGGACTTAACAGGAAAGCAGTAGCAAACCTTTTTGATGCACCAATCAAGAGCTCGAGGCCTGGCAGTGCTGAGTGCCTCATCCCAAGGCCAAGGGCTCATGTGGCTGCATCTTGAACCAGAATCTGGGTTGCTACAAGCACTCAGCTCCTTGTTTGCCACGGGGACTGTTTGTGTCAGGAGTTAGAACTCTGCCAAGGAAGTCGGCCTGACCGTTACCTGGGTATCAGCCTCTCCCTCTCGTCTCACATTCCTGCAATGGGAAGAATATTCTCCTACTTGTCCTCAAAAGTACACTAAGACCTTACAAAAAGTTTGCAGATGGGCCCAGAATCCACAGGGCCTGATGGTGACTGGGTTTGCAGCCAGCCTGGAGAGTGCTGTGGTTCATCCCCACCCCTCTGCCCCAGGTCTGGTGAACCTGCTGCTTTCCTGGAGCGCCTGGAGTTTCCTGGCCAGCATCAGCTATGCCTGCTACCTGGTGCATCCGATTGTAATCCTGCTCTACAACGGCCTCCAGGAAACACTCCTTCATTACACCGACACCAACATGGTGAGTTTACACCCGCACGGCCTCCGCACGGCCACCGCACCCTAGTGGTGTTCTGTTTGAGAGCAGCAAAGCCATCTGTTGGCTGTTCGAAGGCCGCTCTGTGTGTTTTTGTTTCATTTTCAAGAGACTTGCTGTTCTTTGTTTTATTTGGAGGCGGGAGAGGAAGGGTTTCTGCCTGGGATGCTGTTTCGGTTCTCGGTGTTCAAGGCCAGGACCCTCGGTCCTGCAATGGGGGCGTGCTTCCAGCGCCGAGCGGCACTGGGCTCACAGAGTAAGGCTCCCCGCTCTGCTCCTCTTCCTCTCTAGTTGTACCTTTTCTGGGGACACTGTGTGCTGACCCTCCTCGCGGGGCTCGTCCTAACGCTGTCCATTGAGAAGCCATTTCAGCGGCTGATGCGGTGTCTGTGACGTCAGCACCTGCGGGACCGTGAGTGTTGGGTCAGAAGGAACGCCAGAGACCGGAGGCCCCTCGGCTCGCGGGGACGCGCATGGGCTGAGGCAGCTTCGTGTGTCCCTGGGAACAACCCCAAGTCTGAGTCTATATAATGGTAAGACACATGAAAGGATTCCGGAATAGCTTTCTGCAGCACAACCAGCACCTTCGGCTGTAGCTTTCAGTAAAAAGAGCTGGGATTGCTTTTTCAACATGGCTTGCAGGTTGATTTGCTTTATCGGTGATCCACAAAGTGTTAGATCAAATTGGAGACCAGGCCTGAAGAATTCCTGAGCAGCCAGAGCCAGGCAGGTCTCACAGGTGGCCTCAACCTTGTTTAGCTTGCAGACAGAAGCGTAACTTAAGCTGAGCTAGTTCTTAAAATGCCCTTGTTCAAGAAAAGCAGAGTGGAAGTGCAACCAATCAAAAGCCACCGACAGAGTGCAGTTACGTAAGTAGGGACTTTGCAACAAGAGGCAGCCAGGTAACCACACTGGGACTTGCTTCGCTGGCTCTCTGCGTCTGTTCTGTGGCAGCCTCCCCCGGGCCCATCCTGAATCACCTCTCACCTGCAGGTGCCAGGCTCCCGCGTCACTGAATGTTCAAATCAACGCCTAAAATCTTATCCTGCTTCAGGTTACTTTTTAACAACAGGGAATGATCAAATGTGGCAAACGCAGTATAACTTGGGGTACGAAGCTCCCCCGGGTTCTACTGCCTGCCTTGTTGCAGTAAAAGTCACAGCACAGTGTTCACACTGTAATGATTCATGACTTATTAGCAAAGTCTTTGCAGACCTATCACTTGTTCCTGGTCCGCCAAGCAGCGCGGTCTGCCACCTGCACAAGCCCTGACTGACCACTGCAAGGCTCCCCGTGGTGTCTTGTCTGCAGGATGGCTTCTGTCCTGAGTTACGTTGTCTCTCCCTTCCCCCACCATGGTGAAGGCCGGACTCTAGTTACTCCAAACTGGATTCAAATAAGGAGATGGGGTCCTTACAGGGCTGATCAAGAATGTCACTGGGGCAATACCTTAATGAACCATGAGCAGTGTCCTCATAAAGGGAGGGGCTTTGTACACTGGGGCTCATGCTCAGGGGGACAGGCTAGAAGATGCCACCTGTGAGCCTGGCAACCCTGGGGCCTGATCCAGGGGCAGAGCCAGTCTTCCTCAGGGCCACCGGAGGGCAGCACTGCCAGCACCTCCATTTCAGGCTCTGGCCTCCAAAGTTGTGAGCCGAAAGCTTTTTGATGTTTTCATATCTTTAAAAAAAAACGACTCGATCTTTTCAGAGGCAGAGAGCGAGTGAGCTGCCTTCTGGTTAATACTTCAAATGTCTGCGATGACCAGGGCTGGGCCAGGCCAGAGCTGGGAATGCCGCCCAGGTCTCTCACATGGGTGGTAGGAACCCAACCACATGGACCATTACTGCTGCTCCTCAGGCTCTGCTTTAGCAAGAGGCTGGCGACAGGGGCCTCAGAGGAGCATCACACCCCGACACAACGACAGGGGTGTGTGGGCATCTTAACCGGTACTAACTGCTAGGCCAAATGAAGCGAAGGGCCCTTGGTGACCGGCTTTCATCCCAACACTTTCCAGCAGTGAAGCCTACAGACACAGAGGCAAGGCCAGATGGATAGAAATGGGGGGCCCAGCTGCTGGGCTTGTCTCCTGAGATCCAGCACTCCATGTGGACCACCGTCACACACTGATGACTGGCTAGCATTGCTTGTAACTTAGCTCTCTTGGTTTATCCAACCACGGAAGTATCCAGCACCAATCATGGGGCCACCAGGTGAGGATCAGCACGGACTGTGCCACATCATGACCATCGTCCCCTGGGGCCCACGGGAGACTGGCTTCAGGATGCCCTGCTGATAGAAAAATCCCTGGCTGCGCAAATTACTTCTATAATGATATAATATCCGCACATGACCTGAAGCCTCTGAGTGTGTCAGCTCATCGCTATGTGACTGAGAATACCTAACACAACACCGAACTTACTGCTCAGTGAATCATGGTAAAGAGTGTAGGTGTTCAGGATAGATCCAGTTTATAGACTAGCCACAGTTGCTGTTCAATGGTTAGTTGCATCGCAGGCTATAGGATCCGTGGCTATGCAGGACCAACTGTGTGCTTGCTGCTGTCAAGAAGGTCTGAAAGGAAGCACACGGGGAACTGGGTCTGGGGACAGGAGACAGGGGAGGGAGGCACGGAACATTTCAAATCCTTGACATCGTGGGCAACAGGCAGCTACCCTTGGCTTTTCCGGTCAGCGCAGGGACCGAGCCACAACTCGCTGAGGTCTAGGCTCTTCTGCTGGCGGAATTCACCCTGAGGACGGCAGAGCTGTTAAACCTGTCTGGGCTTGTTCAACTCCAAAAATCATCAAGTGTTACTAAGTAGCTTAACAGGCTACTGAAATTCATCGAGTTCCTTGGGCGCCCCCTTGTGGCTACTTGGGCACCTGACCCTCTCTAACTTAAAGCTTCAGAGAAATCATTGCCGGCCGGCCAGTGGGCTGCACACAGGGCAGATGAGGGGTGGGCTGGGCTCAGACCTCTGTGTGCATACACACGGTCTCCACAAGCAGCTGAGCCCCCCTCTGTCCCCTCATAGGCCTTCTGTGCCCTCTGATTCAGGCTTGGAGGCAGTGCTGTGGGTTTCCTGTTGGAACTGTGTGCAGTTTGTGCTTGCTCTGATGTCTGTCTGCTTTGGATGGAGTACGACTATATCGGCTGTGGGATGCCAGGTGACTTGAGTGGCCCCTGCTGTCCGTCTGCCTCTTTCCTCTGCACCACAGTGCCACTGCATCGTGTCTGGCACACAGCAGGTGCTAAATAACCGCTAGTGGACACTGTGATGCCAACGGCCCCTGAGACGGACTCTTTTCCTGGGGGCATCTCCTGCAGAGAGCAGCCCTGCTCAGCCATGTCACGGATGTGCTTGGTTCTCTGAAGTAGCCGTGCAGTCCCCCTCCCAGGGAAGCCCAAGCCGGCGGGTCCCTGGGCACTGGGAGGGACAAGCAGTGTCTCGTCCCTCCCTCAGGAGCTAACCAACCCACCACAGGTTACCAGGAATCTGAGGAAAGCCTTTTATCCCCCAAAGGATAAGACTACGAGGATCGTCAAAACAAAGGGACTTAGAGGAGATGATGCAGGAAAAAGAAAAATTTAACCAAACTAGCACAATTCCAGGTGAAATCAGAGGGGACATTGTCCCAAACCAAACACAGACTGGGGGAGGTGTTTGGCACAGCAGGTAAGGTGACAGGTGGGAGGCATTGGCTGTGAGTCTCAGCGTGGCTCTGGATCCTGCTTCCTGCTAATGCACACCCTGGGAGGCAGCGGGTGGTGGCTTGAGCACTCGGGTCCCTGGCGCCCGCATGGAAGGCCTGGAGCAAATTCCTGGCCGCCGGCCCAGTCCCAGCCATGGTGGGCGCTTGTAGAGCCAGCCAGCAGATGGGGACTCTGTCAGTGTGTTTGTGCCTCTCTGCCTCTCAAGTAAACATTAAATAAATACATAAAATAGAAACAGGATGCCACAGCATAGAAGAGGTTCTTTCATGTAACTGGTAAGCAAGCATTCTTGGCAGTCACCTGTGGAAATGGACGGCAGCAGTAAAAGCAGCGGTGTTGGACACCCATTTGGAGGGGGTGTTCCTTCTCCTCTGGCAGCCAGAGCGGGCAAGCGTGGCTGGACCTTGCCCTTGCTCTGGACACAAGGACAGAGTGCTGGGTGTCTCAGTGGACTTTACAATATATACACAGGTGCCGTTATTATTTCAAATGTGGGTTGGAGTTCGAAATTGTACTGATTGCAGCTAGGAATGAAATAATATATGTTTCCCAGTAACAATCCAACTTTATATAGTGTTTGTTCAATAAGGAACAAGATCACTTGTACTTCTGTATTTCTTGTTCCTACCATTATTAGATTTTTTTCTAAAGTATGGCTTACATGTAATAACTTCCACCTTTCAAAAAGTGCACATATTTTGAAAACTCAATAAGCCTGTAACTAGTGCAACAAATGAACTGTTTCAGTAAGTGGGGAACCTGCACCCAGCCCCAGCCTGGCAGGCAGTCACCTGTTCGCTTCAATCCTTGACAGTTCCAACTTTTCCACACGTAGTATTTTTCAAATATTTGTAGTATTCAAATAATTGTAAAGAATGTAATAACTGGTACTTACAATTCACCATCCCAACTAAATAAATATTTCCCTGTTTTGCCTTTAGATGAGTGTTTTTTTTTTTCAAGTCTAACAATTAAAACTAATATGGAGATAAGGGAACCCCATGTTATGGTTTCAAAGGATTTGGGCTTCCAAACTCAAGCAGACATTTACGTCCACACATCAACAGTTGATGACCTGGAGGTGCGGACTTGATCTGGCCATACCGTCTAGGGGGCAGGCCCAGCGGAGGGTGCCCGCAGGAAGGACTGCTAAGCAGAGGGCTGCTTCCTGAAGCTGATGGGCACCTGCCTTCTCTGCGTCTTCTCATTTCGTTAGATGCATGAACTGGTTGTGGTCACCAAGCTTGGAGTGTGAAACTCGAACCCAAAGGCCAAAGTAAATCTTCCTTTCTAAGTGCCTCTCGGGCTTTTAGCGATGGTTGTATGCTGTTGTGGGAGTGCTCATTGACTTTACTGTCTGGAGGTTTTTCCAAAGACTAAAAATAGAATTAGTGTCTGAGCCTGCAAGCCCACTTCTGGTATTTACCCAAAAGCTGTGAAGTCAGTACATCAAAGGGATGCCCGCGCTCCTGTGTTCTTCATGACACCGCTCACAGCAGGCACATTGTACTCAACCATCAAAGGATGCATGGGTAAAGAAAAGGTGGAATGTGACACCACAGAGGGCCATTCCGCTTTTTACAAGAAAGGAATGATGTCATTTGTGACAATCTGGGTGAAGTTGGAGAGCATTATGCTAAGTGAAATGAGTCAGACACAGAGAGACGAACGCCACG